GTAAGCGGGAGCCCTTAAATCATATTACCATGCTGCTCTCCTAAGCGGAGTAAAGTAACCCCTCCTCTTTTCACCCCTCAGATGTCCTTCCATGTTATCTACAAGGCTCCATGTGGACTCTGCCTGCGTAGCATGGGGGAGATCCAGAACTACCTCTTCCAGACCCAATGTGACTTTATATTCTTAGAAATGTTCTGTCTCGACGCGTATGTGCTGGTGGACCGGCCATTCCAGCCACAAAGGCCCTTCTATTACATTCCAGACATCACTAGTGGGAAGGAGGACATCCCTCTGTCCTGTGTTAATGAGATTGATACGACTCCACCTCCTAATGTAAAATACAGTAAGAATCCCTCTGATTTCATACCAAATATGAGATTGCTTGTATTATTCATCATTTGGTTAGAGGTTAAACCCAGTAAGCTGGTTTGTTATCAACCTGAAGGTTGCTTCAGGCTAGTTTGACACAAGGACTAAACATCCTTTGTAACGTGGGGTAATAGACATCATTAGCAGAAGTGGTATCAATAGTTGGGATGCATTTAAATTCCAGATTTGTGTCCTACTATAAAAAATATTCTTACCAGATTAAATAAAAATCTATCATTTTAATCATCTTGCAGATCAGTTTAAAAGACCCTGAATAAAATGGAAATCTTTACATATTAATTAATTATATATATATATATATATATATATATATATATATATATATATATATATATATATATATATATATATATATATATATATTCCAACTATAAAATTAAATATTTTGTCCGATTCTTGATCTTGTTCCTACAAGGTAAGGAGCGCATTCCTGAAGACGGAGTATTTATTAACACCAGTTCAGACTTCCTGGTTGGCTGTGAATGTACAGACGGCTGTCGAGACAAGTTAGTAAAGACAAGCTCTGTCCTTTTTTAAATTACAGTCCAAATAAGCCCCCGATGATTTTCATGCAATCTTGTATGTTTTTTTTCTCTTTAATTACAGATCCAAATGTTCCTGCCATCAGCTGACCCTCCAGGCGTCAGGGTGTACGCCCGGGGGACAGATCAACCACAGCGCAGGATATTCATACAAGCGATTAGAAGAGTGCCTGCCTACAGGGTCAGACAGCTACATAATTTATAGGGAAATAACACCCTCCTAGAGTAAAAAGGATTTTTAACTCTGATGGTTAATATGAAATGGTTTGCTTTCTTCCATTCTGCTCCATCTCAGGATCTACGAATGCAACAAAAGGTGCAAATGTTGTGCTCAGATGTGCACGAACCGGCTGGTGCAGCACGGCCTGCAGGTCCGTCTGCAGCTCTTTAAGACCCAGAACAAAGGCTGGGGCATCCGTTGCCTGGACGATATAGCTAAGGGCTCATTTGTCTGCATTTATGCTGGTGAGAAATACTTTACATTAGAAGCAACAACAAAAAAAACAGACATGCATAGACAACTATTCTAGGTGGACAATTTATTCCTTTCCTTCTCTTTTTACAGGTAAAATCCTGACGGATGACTTTGCTGACAAAGAAGGTCTGGAGATGGGTGACGAGTATTTTGCTAACCTTGACCACATTGAGAGTGTGGAGAACTTCAAGGAAGGCTACGAGAGCGAGGCGCACTGTTCAGACAGCGAAGGAAGTGGCGTGGATGTGTCTAGGATGAAAATCCAGCCATCTGCTTTAGTCTCTAGCAGTGCCAGGAAAAAAGGTGAGAAAAGATGAGAGGTGGTGGCTTCTGTATTTTTACTAGCCGCGGTGTCATTAACTGACTGAATGTTTCCACTCTTCACGCTCTCCTGCCGCAGCCCAAAGCTCCAGCTCGTCAGATGATAGCAACAACGAAGAGGAAAAAGATTCAAAGAGTGAAGACGAAAGCGACAGTTCAGACGACACATTTGTGAAGGAAAACTTCTACACCCCTGGTTCTGTGTGGAGGAGTTACACCACACGTGGACAGGCCAAAGGAAACAAAGAAGGTATCTAGTGTTAACCTACCATTGTGTATTGGTACTATGGTTTGGTCAATGACACTAACAGCCAACACCCACAGCAATGCAATCTGGAGCAGAGGAGCACATTTTCTCACATTTCTCAGTAGAACGTGTTCGACTTATTAAATGTTATCGTTTGAATGCAGGAGGGAGGGGTCAACATTGGGTATAGCAGAGTGCTGCGTATAGTGTGAGTGGATAGAAATGGAGCGAGAAACGGAATATTAATATTTTATTCTCTTTTTCTTCAGTGACAATTAGCATTCTGAGTAATGTCATTTATGTCTGCTGCCTTGAGACTGTTCAGCTGGCTAAATATTAAATTAGCATTTAAAAATGTGATTCTATAACACTAGCAATGTTAAATATCTATTGCATACACTGAAATGGCAATGATGAATTATAAACAATGTGTTAAGCCTTAACCCGTTACTTTTTCTTCTGCTGCAGGAAGTCAGGACAGCAAAGATGGGTTGAGTGTCTCAGCCAAAGGACAAGAAGATGACAAACCGCCCTCTATGCCTGAGGAGACGGGGAAAAGCAAAGTGGCGTCCTGGCTGACCGGCCAAGGACTGAAGAAGGTCAGTGAAATTAATCAAATACTAAGTCATGAAGTCTATTATTCTGGTTTCTGGCAAATGACCTTTGTTTTTGTTTTTAAGAAGCTAGTAGATTCCCAAAAAAACTCTGAATTCTTTTTATATTGGATGATATTTATTTCAGTATTATCTTCTCTCTCCAACAGGAAACTGGAGACAACAAGAGGTTTGTTAAAAATCCCCTGCTCTCTGCTAAATTTAATAGATTAGCATTTTTCTTTTTTATTCCAACTCTTTTCAAATAAACTGCCAGTCAAATTGCCTGACCCTCTATGATATTCTTATTTTACAGTCAAATAAAGACTGACCTTGCAAAAAAACAGGACGTCATGACTCTCTCTGACAGCGATGATGTTCAAACGATTAGCTCTGGATCTGAAGACCGGGAAAAAGAGAGAGAAAAAGTCCCCCAAGGTGAACGCTGCTTCAGCAAACACTGCATCTTACTCTACATGTATCATGGTTTTAACGTGTTCTTTGTTTCTTTTCTCTTGTAGCTTCTGTATCCGGTGTGACTAAGAAGCAGGTGGCGGTGAAATCCACCCGAGGCATTGCCCTGAAGAACACCCACAGCATGATGGTGAAGACAGCTCCGTCTGCAGGAGGGGTCGGACCCAGCGGTCAGGGAAGCAAGCCGGGGCAGCAGGGGCAGTCTGGAGGAGGGACAGAAAACGCTCCTAAAAACACCCGCCTGTTCTTTGACGGAGAAGAGTCCTGCTACATCATCGATGCCAAGTTGGAAGGAAATCTTGGACGTTACCTCAATGTAATATGGATTTCTTTCCTGTTGGCATTGTGTGTCACTTATTAACTGGTTGTGTATTAGTAACAGCTCTGCATGCCTTAATTTGGCATATATGTTTGGATCATTTTAAAACTCCTATATTTCTTAGCACTAAAATTAGGTCTGACTCTGTAACCTATCTGACCTATTTGTTCTTATTTTTGTGTTTAATTTCTGTGTGTTTTATTCATTATTGATGGTTTTATAAAAACTGTACAGCACTTTGGTGCTGATACAATCGGTTTTAAAGTGCTTTATAAATAAAATTGACATATATCCCTCTATCTGTGTTACAGCATAGCTGCAGTCCTAACCTCTTTGTCCAGAATGTCTTCGTTGACACACACGACTTGAGATTCCCCTGGGTGGCTTTCTTTGCCAGCAAGTGAGTGACAAGAATCAGAGATCTATGTTCAAAAACAGCAGTGAGATGGAAGCTTTAATGCATTCCTTCTAGACAAGGAATAATAAAAACAAAAACTGAAAACCATCCAGTGTTTTAAAACTGAGCATTTTAACTTTCAACAACCTGAAACCTCGTGGTATTTTTTATTAGTTTAATATTAAAGACCAAAAACAAGATTTTACACAGTTTTAGGACAAGGTAATAAACTCTCACTCAACTGATTGGTTGTTGCTATGGTAACTGATTAGAATTTGGTTGTTGCTATGGTAACTAATTAAAATAAATCAAGCCAATAGAATAGGTAGCATATTTATGAGTTAGGATGGCCTAGTTAAAGTCCATTCCTAATTTTTTTTTATGTTTCCTTCAGTAACTTGTTAAAGAGTTGTCAAAAATTTCAGGATTTAAATTTTCTTTTCAGACAAATGTAGTCACCAAATACAAATGGGTGCTACACCTAAGATGTTTGATCGCCATGCATTTCCTCTCAACTTTCTTATTAAACTCTAAAGTGATGAACTACTTGAACGTTAAGGCATAGATCTGTGACTGGAACATCTTTAAATTCAGACTCATTCCCAGATTTTATACTTAAGAAGTAATTGGAGCTTAGCTTAAGGGAATGTGGTAAAGATTAAACTTTTTCCATCAAAAGATGTTTCATATTTAAACTCGGATTATTGCAGCAGGATAAATGGATCTGAAGTTCCTTAAGAGTTTATTTTTTGATTCATTTACTCATCCATTATTTTACAAATTCTCCTATTTTCCGACACATTGGCCCTCTATCTCTGTTAATAATCTTATTCTGGGTTGGTTCAGGCGGATACGGGCCGGCACAGAACTGACCTGGGATTATAACTACGAGGTTGGGAGCGTGGAAGGCAAAGAGCTGCTGTGCTGCTGCGGATCCACAGAGTGCCGAGGACGGCTGCTGTGATCAACCCGGACCTCTGTTCCCCCCAGCAAGCCCCTTCACACTGTACCAATTTCTGTTATTGCATTTCTAAGTTCATTTTTATGACATCTCATTCTTTTTGTTTGTTGTTTTTATTTTTTTCAGCGTGTTTCTCAAAGTTTCTGAAGTTGTTTCATGCAAAGTTTTCTGTACCTCTGAATAAAAGTTTCTTCAGTGACCAGACATCCTGCATTATTCAGTTATTACTGCTTTCATTGTTAAGTTATTTATTCTTTTAAAAAAACAAACGCTTACTGAGTAAAACTGGGGTTATTTTCCAGGTTGTTGTAGTTCTAGTAAGTTAAGTCCAGGCTCACACAAACTAGTCCAGTCCTCTAAATTCATCCAACAGGGCGGAGCGTTCATGCACACATTCACCTATCAGATTGCCCCAAATCTAAAAAAAACCCAAACATTTGTCAGTGAAAGCCCCCAACCTGCTAACAGAACAGAAGCAGTTATCCTTTGGTGGGTTGGGCTGTTCTTTGTTTCTCTGTCTCATTGTTAGCATGTTTTACCACCCGGTTGTCTTAAACCGTCGCTCAGGATGTTTCTCTACGATCTGGTGAGTAAAACCCCGTTACATCCATTACTATTATTTCTCAGATCTGTTTCTCAGATTTTTTTTGGTATAATCTTTGATGCTGAATTTTTTTCATTGCTTCTTGAAATCATCCCTAAATAAAGGGGGGACTTGTAAAATCTATTATTTAAATTTAGAATTTATGATACAAGATGGATAACGCTTCTCAAAAGAAATATTTCTAAAAAAAAACAAACTCCTTTTGTTATTTTCTCAAAACTGCCAGATTTTCAATAGTTTTCCTATGAACATTTTTTAATTTCTCTTACACAATAAAATCCTCTAAAGAAAGTCAATCTATCATCTTTAAGCCATTTTTTTTTTCTTTATATGCAGAGCTGGCAGGGTGCAGGTGCATCTTTAAAAAAAAAAGTAACAAAAACCCTTTGAAGCTTACATTCCTTCATTAAATATAAGATTTCTGGAGATAAAAGAGAAGATCAAAGAAAGTCAGCTTGATTCCCACAGGTGCTCTTATGTGGACATTTAGACCAGTTTTGATACTAATTTTTTTATATTAAAGGTGATATAAGCAGGTTTTAGAGGAAATTAAGAAGTTTAAAATAAAAAGCAAAAGCATCCAATATTAGTATGAAAAGTTTGCTGTTTGTCTTCTATAGTTAGTGGTGGAGTGAATAATTGGATGCTGTAGAAATCCCTAAACCATAAAATTAGAATGCAATTAATTACAAATGTCCCCCTTTCTTGTAATAAATGGATATTTAATTACTGAATTAGTCTTATTTGATTGATAAATGAAACTAGAACCAATCTTTATGTATATTTCAGGCTGGTTGCCACAAAAGGCATCAAAGTCCCTCGCAGGGATTTACTGAGAGTAGATGTGACAAGGACTTGGTAAGTCTTCCTTCCTGTATATTTTCTCTGCACATGTGCTTCAGACTGTCCCATTGAAAAATTTGGATTAGAAGTTTTAATCAAAGTCGAGATTCTCAAACATCTGGTTGTTGTGTTATTTTCCTCACATAACGCAACCAGCTCCAATAAAAAATGATTTATATATTTGCAAAATTTTATATGCATAAAAAACATAATTCACTATGAATTGCTGAGAAAAAAAATTCTATTTATTTATTTATTTGAGTGTCAAAGTATCATGTGGTGTGACTATGGTCCTCTTAAGGTCATTAACATAACTTTAAATGTCTTCATATGTGTCTTCTGCCATTTTTGTCCTAATATCTAATTTGCAGTCCTATAATTTCAAATGATTTATATTCCGATCTCTATCATAATTTTCACGGCTTTCTCAACTATGATTTAACTTGAGAATATGTTATATGGAATGTTCTGCGTAATTTTCTACACAATGCAAGAAAAATATAAGTACAAAATGAGTGATAATAGGTGATTCTACATTTATGATTGATTTTCTTATTATAATAATAACTGAACTTTATTGATCTCAGATTGGAGAAATTTACCACTGCATTTAAGCCATCCCATTAGGGAGCAGTGGGCTGCCATCAGGGGGCGCCAGAGGACCAGTGTGGGGCTAAGGGTCTTGCTCAGAGTCCCAGGGTTGTGGTCTATGGGAGTGGGTTTCAGCTCTATGCCCTAACTACTTGGCTCCCCTTGTGCCTTCATTGTTGACTTTACTACTTCACCAGATGTTGCCTATGCACTCACTCTATTATGTTTTTCCAGAATTAAACAAAATACAAGCGAATAGCAGAACACCATATATTAATTATCCACCTTATTGTTGACCTTTGCAGATTTAAGAGTAGTGATGCGCCTCTGTTTTTTTAAGGGACTGTAAAGTCTTTGGCACTGACAGGAAAAAAGAAGCATAGTATCAATATCACTTTGCAGCAGAGTTGCAGTGTTACTCTACAATCTGAGAGGAAGTTATGTAGATGTAGAAAAATGCTCACCTGTCAGAGATGTAATAATCAAGAGGAACAAAGTAGTCCTTGTGACTCGGCAGCAGAGTGATGATGTAAACCATGTTGATGCTCTGGCAGCAATGACATCATGAACTACGTGCTGGGGCTGGTCAACCCTCCTCAGCCAGGTCTGCCCCGACCTCGCTTCTCCCTCTACCTCTCCTCTCAGCTGCAGTACGGCGTCATCCTGGTCTACCACAGACAGTGTGCCATCTTTCTAGGTAAGAGGAGATTCAGAGAAGATTCCCTGAAGTTATGATACTCTGGATAAAATGTGTTTCCCTTCAGATGAGCTTCAGTTTATGAAGGACCGGCTACTAAAACAATGGAGCATCACTAAAATTGATTTGGAAGACCACAGCAGGTATGAACATTTGCTAAAATTATGAGAAAACAACAACAAAAACACTTTTTCCCCCTTTAAGGCAAAGAGTAGACCTGCCTGATCCTCTGTCTGTGATGGAGGACACTGAAGGAGCTCCAGACCCTTTATTTGGCGAGATGCTTCTCCACAATGTCGTCCCCAGTCCCAGCTCACTGATTCAGGTAGTGACTGACAGTGAGGTAGGAATGAACAGATACTTAGAGGAGAGAATAATAGTCAGTATGTTCTACCTTTTCTGTCAGATGAGTAAGGAATACCTGAGAGGAGCTTCTCCTGAGCTTCCATTGGGCAGCTCATCTGCTTCTCTTTCACCAGACGTGCAAACTGGTAGGATGATTCATGTCATGTGCAGTAATCAGATAATTTAATGAGACATCAATTTGAGATAATTTGGGATACCACATGAATGCATGTGGGGTTTTTTGTTTGTTTTTTTTTGGACTAATGGGACTAATGGGCCCCTGCAAGGTTTGGATCTCAGGAGAAATAAATAAGCACACCTCTACTTTTTTCCTCCTAAAATAATTTGAATTGCATGGAATTCAAGTGTGTTTAGTGTGAAAAGAGGGCTGATGAGGTTCCTGAAGCTTTCAGGAAGCCTGAAAAGGGTTTAAAACCCATCATTTCCCTTTTGACAAAAATAGTCTGGTAGAGAACATTCAAAATAACCCAGATTGGACTGTTCAAGCAGGTCTATTGAGAAAAACTAAGGCAGTAGAAGTCTGCAACCTTAGAACATCATTACGGTTCCTACAACAGGGTTGTATTTTTGATCATGTGGGAAATGACTGTACTAGTTTAGCTTTAACTGGGATGGGCAAACATTTTTTCACCCAAAAAGATCCCAGGCCTTCTATGCAATATGGAGGTGGATGTATCGTGTTTATTTTAACTTGTGATTATTTGTGAAAGTGTTTCCCTATTCCATCCTCATCTTATTGTTTTTCATGCACTCTATTCGCTACCCCATGATTTGCCTCAGGCATCACTGCATCACCAGAAAGCATCACTCTGAGAGAGGCTGAGCCCGTTCCTGCCCCGGCTGCAGAGGTATGGCTGCAGGCTGAAACAGAGGTAAAAATCCCTCCAGCCCGAGTCTCACTGCATTCTTCCTCTTACATCCAGTTTGAGGGGGAGGATTTTGCTGGCCACCTTGCACAAACGATCAATATGCTGTTGGACCAACCCGATGACTTTCCAGGTTTGGGAAAACATTAGACTATCCCCTTTATTTAGCACAAGTTATCAATTAGGAAATGTTGGGATGTCAACAGGAAGTTTGGAGCTACCAGAAGAAGAGATGAGAGGGCAGGAGAAAGAACAGACTAAGGAAATGACAGGATCCACTGCAGAGTAACGTCTCCGTTCTCACATATGAGCACAAATAAGATCAGAGTAACACAGACTGGCTGATTATTATTCTTATTTTCTTAATCCTTGTCAGACTGCAGCCAACCACTGTCTCCAGTGAGGGTCCTGAGCTGCTGGCCCCGGAGCAGCAGGGTCCCCCCAAAGACCAGCTCACCCCGGTCTCTGCTTCTAGGCCCCCCTCGCCGCCCTCCGCAGCCGAGGGCCCGCTCAGGAGCCCCGAGTTAGAGGTGAGTGCCCTCTTATTTTTTGATTGAAAACTAAAATTTTTGTTCTGAACCAGTCCTTCATTTTACAGGCTGTTGTTTTTTTCTTAAGGGAGTTAAATTTGAGGTTTGTGTGGTACTACAAACCGGTCTCGCCGGTGCAGGATAATAATGCAGTGGGGTTTTTTTTTATTAGGGGGGCCACTGCCGAAGGCTATTGCACTATTGCACATATTTCTTTTATTGTTTTTGGGGGGAAATTGTTGCTGCTTCAAGAGCTTTAAAAAGAAGCAAACAATTGAAATTATTCTTGATATGACAACTGTTAGAGAAACTCTTTTATTAGTGATAAATGGGATCTCACACACACCCAGCAGACGTTCATAAAGCCAGAGTTTTACCTTTTCTATCCTAGTTGTCAGTGCGGCTATTTTGTAATGTGAGAAAATGGAAAACGAACAAAATGTTAGGATTCACATTCCCTTTCTTCTAAAAGAAAATCTCTGGTTAACTGATTTTTGAGATGAGGTTGTTATTTTATAAAGAAAGGAACCTTTTCTCCACCTCGCTTTTTTACACTCATGATTTTTATAGACTTCTTTTTTTTTTATAGACTTTTATTTCCTTCTCTACTCATGCCAGCAGGAGGCCCAAATAGAGGTGAGAAGGAAGAAAAGAAGGAGGCAGCTGGTTTTCTTCGATGCAGAGACGCAGCTCTCGGAGGAGGAGCTGCAGCGGCAGATAGACGACCCTCTAACAGAGACCACATCCCCTCCCCTTCACCTGCTTCCCTCTCATAGGGTCGTACCTCCAGCAGAGCTACTCAACAATCCCTGCAGCTGTCAGTGAAGCACCTGTCCACCATCAAATCCTACTGATAATGTCTTTGAGTGCAGGAAAGATTTCCTGTGAAGTAAAAATGTGGGACTTTCGTGGCAATACTGAGAAAAACTACGTTTTCTTACAGTTTTGCCCAAGGAGATTGAGGCTCTATGGAGACAGGCTGCCACTATAACAGAGCTGCTGGACACTGACCTCCAGGTCGGGGAGACCGGACCCGAGTCCACCGACTCCGAGAAGGAAAGAGAGCGGGAGATGATGGAAGTGGCCGAAAGAGAGGAGCAGAGACTCAGAGAGACTAGCACAGAGGTGTAGCCAAGTGTTTCTGCTAATCTTCTAACAAACTGATGAATGTCTGAGGAATTTAAAGTTAATCCTGTGCGTCTGTGTATGAATGCAGGTCCAGGAAGCAATGATGAAGTCGGACATGTTGGGTACTTCAGGTAAAATGTTAATAAAACATCTTAGAAGCCTTTCAGAGTGGGTTGTGAGAACAAATTTGCCTCCTTAAAGCTTTTTTTTTTTAAATGTACCTAAATGCTTCAGATCATCAAATACATTTTAACAACAGACCGAGTTAACCTGAGTAAATTCCAAGTGAATAAGGTTCTAAAAATCCCCTTAATTGAACCAGTCTGACACCATGAAGTAGGCATTCCAAATTGAACACAGAGAGGGAGGAAAGATGGAGTCCGTTGGCGTGTTCTGAACCTTTTCTCACCCAAAAGAACTCAAAGCTGTCACCCACGTCCTAAAAAACGATCCCAAAGACTTTCGGAGAATATATTCTGTGAACAAAAAAATTTACATTTGAATAGTGTGTGTCCCATAAAACTGATTTAAGGAAAGAAGAAACGGTATAATGACAGTCCCACATGGCAGTATTGTGACAGTCTGGGATCCTTTGCTTCATAATAGAACCTGTAGCATTATATTACTGATAAAAGCATAAATTCAGGTCTTAAACAGAGAATCCTGGTGGGAAATACTCAGTCATCATTTATCACATTAAGCATTAACACACTTGGATTATGCCGCTGGATAGACAAACAGCAAGCCCATAATTTAAGGTGGCCTAATCAAAGTCTGGACTTAAAAGTGATACAGATTCTCTAACTTGATCTTAAAGGAGCATTGCACAACTTTATAAAGTAATTTTTCCCCCCTCTCTGGTTCAACTGGAGACTTTGTTGTGTCTCCGTCAGAGTGAGAGAGCAGGAGAGATGGTTTATAAAGATGAATGCACCTCAACCCCCATCATAGACCCAACATAAAAGTAAAAAAATAAAACTTATGTCTAGGGCGACGTAAGGGGCCAAACTGGAGTCTGATTAGTGACTGGATCATAACACTGGCGTCATTTCGACTTGTGGCCAGAGGGGGCAGACTTCTGTAAAACTCTGGCTATCCTTTTTTAAACAGGTTGTTTATGGTTAGAAAGCCTCTTGTGTGGCTAAAGACAGAGATGCTAAAAAGTCACGGCCAGCTGTTAATAAATACATTTTTGTGTCGGTTGTTTTGGGTAGATTTATTTCCCCTATTAGATAAAAATCATCTTCTGAAAAGCGCTTTTTGTATTTTTTCAGGATATCTTTGCCTGGTGTTTGAATGTTCCTGAAGATGTAAAATATCAAAGTGTGACAAAATAGACAAATAAATCCAGGATGTTATGATTGCCATAATCTAAACTTGAGGACAGTGCTCTTAAGGATCTTCTTGTGTTGCTTGTTTGAGTCCAGCTGACGATGCTTTGCCTCTGGAGGTGTCGGACCAAAGGGAGAAGTCTCGAGAGATTTCTCCTCTGCACACATCAGAGAGAGAAGGGTGGGTGATAAAAGAGAACTCTGCATGTCTCTATTTGGTTTAAACGTTAATCCATATTCTCCTGTGTGTGTGCAGGTCCTCTATCTCCACTGCATTACCTGATATCCAAGAGGCGGAAGAGGAGATGACTGAAATGAGGTCAGCAGATTTGCCTCAGTTTGCTTCTCTGGCCTAATAAAAGCTTAAGGAATTGCATCTTTATTTAGATTTGACAACAAAGTTGTTGTTTTTTTTTTTTGTATTTGTGTATTTCCAGTTTGTTGCCAGAGTTGTTGGAGCATGCAGAGGAGCCCATTCTTTTTCACTCACTTTTACCGCCTGGGGTGAACCGCACAGGTGTCAGCAACCTTTTTCACAGTCTGCTGGGTAAGGAGTTGCCATCTTCCCCCTCAGAGTTTCCATCACTTATTTTAAAGACAAGTTTATTTTGCTTCAGGAGAGATTCTCTGATCGATATGAGATGTGCGAGAGTTTGCTAAAAGCTTGTGAGCCTTAAATCGTGACTTGAACCCAGCCATGTTTAACCCCGTAACACTAGCTCACAGTTAAAGTTCTGTAGTTCAGCAAGATCTGCTGCTACGCAATGTTCTTAGATCATCATTTATGTGATTGTAGTTTTTTTAGAATTTGATCAACTTTCCGTAAAAGTTTAAAAAATAATCCACTGGACTTGGTTTCCAAGGTTTGAAGATGTTTCGCTTCCCCTCCAGGAAGCTGATGAGCTGTTGAGAAAGCTTCCTGGAGGGGAAGCGAAACGTCTTCAAACCTTGGAAACCAAGTCCAGTGGATTGTTTTTTTAAACTTTTACGGAATGACTATGACCTGGAGGACTGAGAATCTGCATCAGCAATTTGATCAACTATTCTTTCTTCAACATGGTAAAGGTGGCTTCATGTTACAAGGCTGTTTAACTACCAATTATGCTGTTGCATTGCTTAAAGTACAATCTCTGTGTCTCCAAAGCCGTAGTTCGACCAGCATATGATATTTTAAAAATCTGGTTGCTCCCTCTTTCCACATTCTTCATTATATGGACTGGACAGGTGATGCAGACTTGTTTTTATCCAACGACATATATTTATTTCATGATGAAGAATAAAATCATGATTCATTTTCCTTTTCCATTACAAGAAAATCATTTAATTTGTTGTCAGTCCCTAAGTGAACCCTAAGTGGCATGTAGGAGGAGGGAGTCAACGCAGAGCAGCTGTTGAGGGTTGAGCTGATTTTGTTAGTGAGGTCACATCCCTGCCTGAGCCTATAGAAAAATAAAGAGTGAGTAAACCCTTTTTAACCTGAAGATGGCGCCAAGCAGGCAGGTTTCGACACAAAAGCAGGATTTCAACCAATGTACCTTAAATCATCACAAAAAAAATGTCTGGAACATGTAGACGGCGCTATCAGACTTCTATTTATACAGTTTATCAGCAAAAGGAATTGATTTAGGGGTAAGCAGTCCATTAAAAGGAGGTGACTGTGGCTCTGTGGGTAGCGTAGTCACACCCCTATTGCATTGGAAAATTGCTGGTAGTGTAGCAGCTTCCTCCTATCACATGCAGATGTTCCCCTGGACTTGTTCCCAAATCCTCTACAGATTTATTTATCATTGCAGAAATGTGTGCGTGCGTTAGGGTGTGGCTGGTTTGTTGCTTTAGTGTACAGCACTAGAAAGGTGCTGTATAAAAAAGTCCATATACCATTCAAAGATATAGGACTGCCTCCAAACACTTCAGCTGAGTTTGAATCGGATTTCCCCAAAGGGGAACTTCAACGCTGTTGAGGTGCAGCCAGATCAAATGCTACAAATAGTTAAAAGCTTTAAGTGAATGCTTAAAGGTATAGTGGATTTTCTTTTCCCAGCTCGATCATCAAAATAAGTGGACCTCTTAATTGTCAATCATTCTAGTGATATTTTTACGTAAGGCCGTCCAATGTGCTCGTCCCCATTTTCACTTATCTGTGGTGATTCTGACATAGTGAAAAATTTGCAAATCTTCTTATGGAAAGGGGCCGCATTTTACAGCTGCTTTTTGTATCTCTGCTTCTGTCTCCTTGAACCCCATTCGGCCCCAGCATATGGCCGCTCACACTGAGCCTGGTTCTGCTGGAGGTTTCTTTCCGTTAAAAGGGAGTTTTTCCTCTCTACTATCGCTACAAGCATACTTAGTGTGAGGGATTGCATTTGAGTCAATGAGTCGATGCAATCAACTGGTATGATCTGGTTGAACTGTAAAGTGCCTTGAGATGACACGTGTTGTGAATTGGCGCTATATAAATAAACTGAATTGAATTGAAAGTAAGCTTGTATGAGCAATGCAAACAGCACCTTTTAAAAGGAACGTGAACGAGGAGAAATGGGCTTGTGCACGCTCTCGCACATGTTTAATAGACATTCCCTCTTGGAAGCAGGAGCAGGGTTGTGCATGTGCAATTTATTAAAGTTTAGGGGGCGGGTCTTTTAAAAAATTTGCAAAGATCCTCCTCTATACCTTTAAGCAACTATGTATAATTTTGAACATCTAAAAAAAAAAAAAAATATATATATATATATATATATATATATATATATATATAAATACTGCTGACATAATTTGTGTTTTTGCAGAGAATGTTTCCTCCAGGAGGATTCGTGCTGAGCAGGAAGAGCCTTATGGAGCCATCCTAATCTACGCTGGAAGCAGCTATGAAGAGACCAATCTGCCTTTGTAATCTGCTCACAGTTTGAAGTAACACAGGGTTCACTTTTTACACAATCATTCTGTATTCAAATAATATACAAGAATAAAGTTTTAATAGTTGCATGGCTTTCAATTAAACTCTATATTATGTATTATTGAAATAATGCATATTTCTGTTTAGAAGCCTTTGTTTTAAAGCTTTAGAAAAGAAAAGTTTGCATTTTTTTTTCCTTATTCGGATGTTCCTCAAGATGAATTCTGCAATTGGATTTTTGTTAAAGAGTTGATATTTCTAATAAACGTGTATTTCAGTAAAAAAAACCTCTATACTGTGTTCCTTTAAGAAATCAAACCTTTTCTGTGAAATCGTGTTGATCATTAGGAATGCGTGGCGGGGGGGTTAGGAGTTACAGGCCTCAGAGCGGAGCGATACTTGATCTGTCTCTGCCTCTTCACACATCTTAATTCTGCTCTGAGGACTTTCTCAGAGGGGGGAGCTGTGAGCAAAGTTTATTATTAGCCTCTGTTTTAGCTCGCTTTGCTCTTTCTGTCATCTCATTTCTGTTTGTCTCTCTCTGTCTGTGCTTTTACTTTCTCCTGTTTTTCATGCCTTTAATTTTAATGTCTCTTTATTTTTATCGAGGACGTTTTTTTCCTTTGCTTTAGGTTTCTGCTGGCCGCACTGGCAGCTCTTCATTTGACGTTGTCACCGCTCTGTTTTTTTTCTACCACTTATTTAACTTCCACGCTGCCATCTTCAGTTCCTTTTTCTCCACAGCTCCCAAAGCCTGTCTGCTGCTGCTTCATTTGCTTCCCCACCTCCTCCTAAAGGAACATCCCTGTCTGCTCCTCTTCAAACCTGATCCTGACCTTGCATGTTTTGGGTCGCCACCTCTGTGTGATGGGAAACAAGGAGCTGTTTTCTCTCTTGAAGGGTTTCCTGGACTGCGTCTGTCTCTGCCTGTCTGTGGGTATCATGCATTTATTTCCCTTGCTCAACTGTTGCTGTTTCTTCTTCATTTGCATGATTTCAGTTTTACCTCTTAGTCTCACCAACCACAGCAGACCAAGTTTAACATATTATTCAGCAAACTACACAGCTTTTCATTTCTCTTTTGCTGATGGCATGTGGTTATGTGGGTCATTGGGACTTTTTGGTGTGTGTTTCAACTTCTGAGTATCTCATTTACTAACATGCTCGGCTTCTGATATTAATACCAGCCACCAATGGGGATGGAAATAGAGCCTGGCCTCATCCAAACAGAACAGAAGTCTCTTAAAGGGTCTCCTCAAGAGGCAGCTAACATTCCAGTTATCAATAATGCATGAAATTACACTTTTGAGGGTTTTGAGAAGAAGTATATGTGGTAGAGTTGGTGATATTTCAGATTCCTCATTAGTGAGAAAACTGGATTTATACGTCTTGCACAGATAAAAGGTCCTTTCTGCCAGTGAAAAACATTATCTACATTTTGAAATTAATTATCATGCATTTGTACGTATGTACAAATCCATTTTGATATCGAAATCACATTTTCTATTTTCTATTCAGCTGCTTTGGTTTTGAAGAATCATGATTTAATTACCAAAAAAGAAGATATCAAACCCAAACAAAGGATCAATTAAGACATCGGGAAAACAGATTAATATAAATGTCAAAGAAAGACTTTTGGGACAAACTGCTCCAAAAAGTTTGTTCCAGTTTATCTTTTAAAATAGTATCTTTTAAAAGATAATATGTGTTTCTGTAAGTAACTAAATATGCTGTTTGTTTTATACAAAATGCTTCAGATATTTTAAGACCAAAATAGCTTCTCATAAGCATTGCATCATTCGAATAAAAAATTTATTTTTTGGCTAAAAGGGACAAAAAATTTTTTATTATTGCACAGAAGTTTATTAAAATCAATGAAAATGAGCAGATAAAGCAGAATAAGATTACAGAATACTGATTTTTAGAAAGGTATTTAGTGAAGAAGGTTCCCTGGTTCTGGTCTGGCTTTGACCAAAGAAAATAACTTAATCCAGTTTAAATCCAAGATAGTTTAGAAAGAAATCAGTTAAAAGAGTATTATGTAAAGGACATCTTGGAGCTCTGTAAGAGGGTAAAATATCATGCATTCATTTATTCCTGTAGGTTTTAATACACCAAAAAAGGAAAATCTGTTTTAATACACGTGTTTTATTTTTGATTTGGAGAAAGCTGAAAGCAGTCCGATTCTTACCTCTGTTTACAGCAGAGACGCGTTGAGATTGAACCTACGAATGAGCGGGACTCTAAAAATGGCCACCTGATCTACCAAAGCGGGGACATCCTAGAAGACAGATGTAGGTACCGGAACATCTGGCAGGCTGATCATAAAACAGTCCAGATGCTTTATCTCTTTCAACCAGCTTTATCTCTGACTCTTTTACAGATGAGATCCTCAACACGCTGGGAGAGGGGACATTTGGGAAAGTGGTACAGTGTTTAGATCACAGCAGGTATATTTATTTTAATCTAAGTTTAACAGGAGTCCGACTCCAAGGTGCTTTGGGCATCACTTGTAAAGCAATGCATTCAAACACACAGAGGAGGAAGACCAATAGCTTTGAAGATCATTAAAAACCTGGAGAAATACAAGGAAGCAGCCAGGCTGGAAATAAATGTGCTGCAGAAGATCCAGGAGAAAGATCCAGAGAACAAACAGTGAGTTTGAAATTTCCCTCATTGTTTACCTGCATATTTCAAATCAGCGTATTTGATGTTGATTGATGCTGCTTCTGTCTCTCGTCAGCAACTGTGTGCAAATGCTCGACTGGTTTAACTTCTACGGCCATGTGTGCATCTCCTTTGAGCTGCTGTCTCTCAGCACCTTCGACTTTTTGAAAGCAAACAACTTCCTGCCTTATCCCATTAACCAGATCCGTCACATGGCGAGCCAGATCTGCAGCGCTGTCAGCTGTGAGTGCAACACAAATCCCACCAACTGTGCAGCTTCACTCTGTTACCTTCACCTCTTTCTATCAAAAACAATGGAGATGGATCGTTCACATGGTTTCACTACAAAAAACAAAACAATTAAGTCTCTCTTAAAGCTGCATTGCTGATAAAACTTAAGCTTGTTGACTGTTGGCTCTGTTTCAGCTAGACGTCCATCACTATCATTCTGTGTGCTTTCTAGATATATCTGTTATATATGGTTACACATGGGGAGTTGTATAGATTTTCTGCCCAAGTTGTGTTTTGCAAGCTAGTTATAAACAGTCCGTCTCTCACCTGATAGAGACAGCAATTCGAACCGCCCCCGGTTTAGAAAAAAAAAACATGAGATAACTGAGTCAGGCATTTTGTCAGGAAGTCATTAGTCATCTCACATAAATATTGAAACACTGCTTTGCTAAAAAACCCCTGAAAGATCTCAAAAGGCATCATGTTAAGCTTAATCAGACTTAGCCTAAAAACAACTGATTTAACCTTTAAAATAATATTCTGCATCTGGAGTTTCTTTAAAACTCACATTGTGTTTTTGTCTGTTAAAGAGTCACATATGTTGAATTCAAAAAGGTAGTTCAGACAGCAAAGCTCTTCCTTATTGAGTTGGTCGCTGAGTAAAAAGTTTTTAAAGGTGGATGTTTTTGAGGGAGGTGCATAAGAAAGTTAATAAAAAGGAAATGTTTTTGTACATGTCAACATGTCTGTGTTTCACTAACAGCCGGAACAACCACAAGCAGTTTTTGTCATGAAACGGTGTTGGTATGGAGGACCCAAATGCAACAAAAATATCTCAAGAACTAGAATCTAGAAGACATCAGGGAAAAACCAAAAATTAAGAACCTGGAAGAGACGAGGCAGGCAGGCAGACAGACGATTGTTCAGAGGTTGAAGAGAAGTAAGACGAGGATCCAGCAAACAGGAACTGAAGAGGGAGGGCTTTTAAAGGGGACAGAGACAAAGAGAGAGCTGACAAGGAAATTGGCAACAGGTGCTGGCAGGACAGAGAAAACGGCAAGGGAGGACAGAGCATAAAACAGAGCTAGGGATAGAGGACACAAGAGGGCAGCAGAGGACAACAAATGGAAAACCTGGAGGACAGGAACTAACAAGAAAACAACAAAATAATAATTAGACATTAAAACAAGGAGCAAAGTAAGACTGAATACTCTAAATAAACATAACAAAAACAAGACTGTGACAGTTTTAGCAAACAAGAGAAAGGCTTAATGTATTACAGTAAAGTTGCAAGATTCCTGAGGAAGTTCGTAGCTTTGTATTATAAAAAGGTATAGAGGAGGATTTTCACAAATTTTTGAAAAGACCCGCCCTCTCCACTATAAAAATGCACATGCACAATTACATGCTATTGAGAGAAAACGCCTAAACGTGTGCAGGCATGCTAGAGCCCATTTCTCCTTGTGCACGCTCTGTTTAAAAGTTGCTGTTTGCATCACTCATACAAGCTTTGCAACATTTCCACAATGTCAGACTCACCACCGATAAGTGAAAATGGGGACGAGCACGTAGGACGTTCTTACATAAACATATCACCAGAAGGATTGACAATTAGGAGAACCACTTATTTTGATGATCCACGTGGAAAAAGAGCATCCTCCACTATACCTTTAAGGGATGAAATAACGCCAACCTCAAAACCTAAATGTTTATTTTCAAAGGGAAAAAAATTTAAGTCCTTGCAAGCAGAGGTGCAACAGATGAAGGAGTTTGTCAATGGTTTCCTAGGAGTGGGAACTGAATAGTATAGAATTAACCTTTAATGTAACCAGAGATGGGAAGTAACGAAGTACAAATACTTTGTTACTGTACTCAAGTAGATTTTTCTGATATTTTTACTTTACTACTTATTTTTATGGCAACATTTTACTTCTACTCCTTACATTTTTACACAAATATCTGTACTTTCTACTCCTTACATTTTAAAAAAACTGGCTCGTTACTTTAGTTTTGAATCATTTCAATGGAGTTACCATTATTATTTTTCACGTCATCAATACCAAATTCAATCTAATTGGATGGGAATCTACGTTGCATTTGACGCACCACTACAAGATGAATCGACAGATTCAAAGGTATTCATTGGCGGCAAATCATTGCAGCTTGGTGGCGTTAGCATAGTAGTATGGACGACGAGATGATTGAAAATGAACACAACGGAGATCTAGTCCTATTGGCAGACATCCATTTAAAATGTAGGCAACGGCATGAAAAAAGTGGTTTCTACTTTTACTTTTATACTTTAAGTAAATTTACAAGCCTGTACTTTGTTACTTTTACTTGAGTAAAGAAGTTTAATCAGTACTTCCACTTTTACCAGAGTATTTTTTAACACAAGTATCTGTACTTTTACTCAAGTATGGAAAGTGAGTACTTTTGCCATCTCTGAATGTAAACCTGAATGTCACCACTGTGGTAGCAATAAGGGGGACAAAACCTAAACAGATTAAATGAATCTGGCTGGGATGATTAGAAACTGTAAAAAAGGTGAAGGAATTATTGTACATAAAAAATATTTACAAAAGAATGGATGAAATGGAAAAGACAGCAGGAATGTAAACCACATACAATATACATTGTTAGGAGCAGAGATAATTATAAAGTCTACCAGCTGCAGGGAGAAAGGATATGCGATAATTCTTCTTTGTGCATCTAAGAGGCAGCAGACTTTTACTGAAGGAGGTCTCCAGTTCAACAGCAGCTACATACATGCTGGTGGGAGACGTTTTCCAACAGTGATTTTATTTTTGCAGGTTCTTTCTGTCTCCCACCACCTCCGTGTCCATATGTGTCCTAGGATGGACCTTATGTGTCCTCTCTGCCCGCACTTTACTAAATGTATACACTTAAGAAGACAAGACTCTAGATTGAATAAATTGAATCAACAAACTGAGGACAATGTTTTGTATTTGATGCTAAAACACTAAATGGATAGTATTTCAATATCAAGTAGAGATATTGCAGGCATGTAATTTGTTGTTTTCTTGAGAAAAAAAAAACATCTGATTGTTCTGCTATGAATGTTTAATGCTACAGAATTCATGCTCGCTTAATTTTGTCCAGTTAGTCAGCCATGAAGACTTGCTGTTCACCATACTAAAAGAAATCACCAGAGGATGGCACTGCTTCCTGGTTAATCTAACTATCCTGGCTGGCTCTCCTCCTCAGTTCTCCATGACAACAAGCTGACTCACACCGACCTGAAGCCAGAGAACATCCTCTTTGTCAACTCGGACTACTCCGTCGTATACAACGCTGACAAGGTGACAGTAAACAGGCATCTTTTGAAGAGGCAGGATAGTGACTAAACAGGGATTATCTGTGGCAGAACAACTTTAGGGATTCCTTTCTCTCTTCCTGTTTAGATGCTATATGCCAGAACCACGAAACCACCCACAGGAAGTCTCTTTTTAGCTCCAGGTTTTATCTCTCAAGGCTGCAGGCTGTATTTGCTGATCTCAGAGGAGCAACATGTGGCATTAGAGAAATGTCTGGATGAAAACAGAATGTTTGGGATAATAAAGTGGTTAAAAATCTATTTACATGGAGCTAAAGGATTTCTATTCTACTGAAATACAGGCAATAAGTTAAAATAATAAATGTTTTCTAATTGCTCATTAAAAATGTCATCCAGTGGAAGCATCAAATAGGGACTGTAACTCACAATATCTTCTGTTTATTATTGTTCTCTGCAGACATTATATTTTTGCTCTCTGTAGACATTAGGGAAAGATTTAAAGCTTCCTATGTTTGCTGCAGAAATATCAGCAGATGCAGTTCCTTCTATACTGAAAAAAAGAAACCATCTTTTATGTCTACAAATCAGCGGAGCTGCATCTTTATTCTATCATGATTCAGCTCCCTTTCGCTATAATAATCTTGATGGCATTGTAATTTATACACGTAAATAAAATATGTATATGATCCAGGATTTTTAAATCTGCAGGGTTTAAACTGGCTACTCTCAATCACAGCCTTCTTCAAATGTTCTCTCTCTGCTGTAACCAATTGGCCATCAGAAGTGGGTTGTCAATCTATGACTCAAGGGCAGAATGCAACCTAAACACAGCATCTTTGGCCACTCAGCTACTCTGATGATATGATTACAGCCCTGTTTCTTGTTCTCTTCCATTTCATTTAGGTGCAGAGCACACAAGAACAGGGAACTTTTTTATGTCCAGTCTTGCACATTCTAAGATCATCCTTTCTATCTTCTCTTTTGCTTAACTAATATCTACATGCCTCCCCCAATTCAGATTAAAACTGGGTAAGCACTTGTTAGGAGTACCCAGAGGGATCTACACATGCAGAGAAACCAAATAAACTTAATGCAGAAAAGCCCTGGTCAGGTGTGAAACCCTGGAGCTTTGATCTGCTGTTTTTCAATTCACTTTCAATTCAGTTTATTTATAAAGCGCTAATTCACAACACATGTCATCTCAAGGCACTTTACAGACACAATTCAACCAGGTCATACAGTCAGACTGGTTCAAAGTTTTCTATCTAAGCAAAACCAGCTGACTGCATCGACTCATTGACTCGAAGGCAATCCCTCACACCAAGCATGCATGTAGCGACAGTGGAGAGGAACACTCCATTTTAACAGGAAGAAACCTCCAACAGAGCAAGGCTCAGTGTGAGCGGCCATCTGCCGAGGCCGACTGGGGTTCAAGGAGACAGAAGCAGACAAAGAAAAAGAAGCAGAGATACAAAAGGCAATGGTGGCCCCGTCCAGGATAACCTAAGTATTTTGAATTAGGTATAAGAAAGGTAGAGCCACAGTGGGGCCAAGGTGGACTAATTATTTTGTTCCATTAGTTGTTAATTCATCCTTGAAAGAGACAGGCAATGGTGCGAAGAAAAAACAGATATGTATAAAATACAAAAAAAAGGTCATGAAAGTATAAACTGTTGGCTTGTTTACAATTTATTGTTTGATATTCAGTGAATCTGTGTTCTCCACTGTTTCTTTTCTGGTTTACCTTACAGTCCTCTCATGTTAGGAGTTATTTGTTTCCATCTTTCCTCCAAGCAGAAACGCCATGAAAAAAGAATAAGAGACACAACAGTACGTCTGGTGGACTTTGGCAGCGCCACCTTCGACCACGAACACCACTCTGTCATCGTCTCCACTCGTCACTACAGAGCCCCAGAAGTCATACTGGGTAGGAGATGTGGGTTAGATCAGTGCTCGGACCGGTGGAGCTGTTGGTGATGTTGAGATGTTTGTGAAACTCTCCTGTCTCCCACAGAGCTGGGCTGGAGTCAGTCTTGTGATGTTTGGAGCATCGGCTGCATCTTGTTCGAATACTATGAAGGCTCTACTCTCTTTCAGGTCAGTTTGATGGAAATCTTAAAGCCTTCTCAGCCTTAGTCTTTTAGTCATGGGATTTCTTTCCGCCTTTTCACTGCAGACTCATGACAATAGGGAACATCTGGCAATGATGGAGAGAATTCAGGGACCAATTCCTCAAAGAATGGTTCACTGGAGCAGGTTTCAACCCCCCGAGCTTTAATCCTTTGTTACCAAGTCTGAAGCATACGGCTGGATTTTGTTTCTTCTTCTCCTCAGGAAGCACCGGTATTTCCAACATGGCCGCCTAGACTGGAATGAATGCTCCAAGGCTGGACGTTATATAAAGTCCAAGTGCAAACCTCTAAGGGTGAGATAAACACAGGGTGTCAAGCATTCACACATGAACTCTGTTTGTCCCTTTGAATAACAACCTTCTATGTTATACCCAGAGCTACTTGTTGTCACACGGAAGAGAGCACCACCAGTTTTTTGATCTCCTGGAGAGGATGCTGGAGTATGACCCTTTAAAACGGATCTCTCTCCCGGCTGCTCTGAGCCACCCCTTCTTCCTGTTGCCCAGTCATGCTGGGAGGACTCAGGCCTGGAGGAACAGCTACGACAAAAACAAGTGACCCAGAAGAGCTCCTTGATGCTGCATGGACCACGTGGATGTGTCGGCAGGTTCACGACAAATCAACCTTAACGCTGTAATTGTATTGGAAGGAAATAAATCAAAGGAGGGTTCACAGATTAAACAGGACAGATGGATTTTGTGCTGATGGAGTCTTAAAAAGGTTTGAATCTCTGGATATTCAAAAAATTCTTCTTTACTCTAAAGAACTCTATTTCTCGTTATTTGGTTGAATTTGAATAAATACAATGATGTGACTTTTAGCCAGGATTCACTAAATAACTTTAACGTCCATGTTCTTCCTGTGTTTCATTTGTGTAACGCTGGATCATAATATTGCCAGCTATAAAAATTATGTTTTAAAGTCGTAGGGAAGTCATATTTAGATGTTAAATCATCCTTGATTAAACATGTATATAAATGTACTCTTTATCAGACAATATTGTCCCAAAATTTCGAACATTTTTATTCAAAAAAAAAAAAAAAAGATCCTGTCTTTTTTTTTTGTGTTTTTTTCCGTTATCTTATGCAGGCTAGCTAGTTATACGTCAGCTTGTACACCTAAGTTCGGCCAATCATATATCAACAGTCATCTGTCATTCTAATTTTTTTGGTCATAGCATCGTCATTCATAATTCGCAGCTAATATACGCAACAGTTGAAATAAGAATCATTTACTTTCCCATTGAGTTCCGTCCCAGTGTTTACAGTGATGGACGTCTGTGTCTTCAGCAGGCGTAGAGCTAACAGAACTGGCAGCGTTGTGAGGAAAGGGCTCAAACATGTACGGCTGTAAGCCTTCTACACCAAACCAAGCTTCTGCCGCCCTGGCGTTCTCTTCCACAACAACTTCTTTATCGCTTTCCTTCTCTAAATAAAAAAATGTATGATGGGGGAGACTCATCCACGACCTCTGACACAAAACTCTCCTCTTCTTGCACGTTTCCACTGTCCATAGCGTTCCTTCACAGTGTCGTTTCTAAGTCACCAATTAAGTGCTACTTGGTCCCAATGGAATTTCCAATTGGGAAGCTACTAGCACTAAGGTGCTAACTGGTTAGTAAGATGCTTCAGAGACACCGGCCATAATCAAACTTGCTTGCGTACCTTCTGCCACAACAATCCCGCCCCCCTTGATAATCGACCACAATCACTTAATTCACTGGTGTGAAGTCGTGCACCACTTGGGAGAATTCAGAAATGCAACGGTTGGAACAGCCATTTCCCTACGACTTTAAGTTTTCTTTTCTGGTACTTTAGACAAAATCCAGCATTGAACACTTGAAAATTTATAGAAATACTGCAGAGAGGAGTACAGCTATTTAACAAAACACTGTTGTTTACAAAGATGTTTGCTTTCATGCACTTAATAGAGCTAAACTGGGGAAACTTGGTGTAATCTTTTACAGGCTAACAGCTCACATGTCAGAAGAAGAACAAAAAAAAAATATCACCAGGTATATTAAAAGATAAAGATTCTAAAGCTGAAGTTTAAGAACCTGTAAAACCTTAAAAATGATGTTTACATTCGGTCACCTGACAACACTTAAAAAATAATGCAACCGTTTTTGGCATTTGTTTAAATATATTTGGTAACTTTAACACATTTTATGTATTATAGGAAGAAATGACATAGAACAATTGAGTTAAAGTAACTAAATATGACCAAGGAAATACCAAAACGTGTCCTCGCATTATTTCTGTTAGTGAGGAATAACTTCTGTGTTTTTTTTTTTAAATATTTTTTTTATGATCTGACATCTTTGGTCAAGAAATAAATGAAGGATTTTTTGTTCCATTGACGTCTCCCTGCTTCATGCAGTTCAGTTTGGTGTCGTTCTGTTCAGTCCAGTTCAGTTTTACATCCACTCACCTGTTGAGTTCAGTCCATTCCTTTTTCCTCGGCCTGTCCTGTCATTTCAGTTCAGACCAGCGGTCCAACTCAGTTTAGGCAGGTCTGTTACTGATTGTTCAGGGTGATCCAGTCCAGTCTCTCTAATTTTATTTTTTACTCTTTTGTTTGGTTTAATCTATTTTGTTCCAAGTTCAGCTTTCCATCCAACCCAGTCGAGTTCCATCCTTTTAAATTCATCCGATGTACTCCAGTCCTGTTCTGCCCTGTCCATTCAGTTTACTTTCAGTTCAGCACCGGCTAAAACAGTCCAATTTAGTCCAGTCCACTGTTGGTTCTGCTCAGTCCCATCCAGTCCAGCTCTTTTCAGCCAGGTTGTGTCCAGTCTAATAAGGATGAAATGTAGGATGTAGCTTGGAATAACTGCAGATCAGCCAATCACTGTCCCCTTTTGGTTCATTAAATGTAAGGAAAACTGGATCATTTTATCTGACAAGTGTAATATACTGCCACTGGTTGATCGGTTTAGTCCATCTGATCAACGTCAGAGACTTTTCAAATCAGGAGGCATCTTCGCCTTTCATTATGAAACCATATTCACACAACCGGTCGGTTAAAATGTGATTTTTTTCTGTTCCATGTCCCAAACCACATGTTGCATCGTTAAAGTATGAAACACTGCACTCATGTAAAGGCTGCTGACTCACAGCCCTTTTACCAGCAGGTAGATTGAGTGCAGCTCGACATAGAGCTCGCTCACAAGGCTGATCAGGAGCACAAAGCTGCCAACCTCTGTCTGCAGCCTTGGCAGAATGAATCACAGCTGAAGCTGAGGCATTTAGGGGGAATGAATGTGTGTGTTCATAATCATATTCTTTAGTAAGCCAAGCATGACTATAGATAGTTCAAGGACAATGATTGAAGTTAAACTGCTGAATGTTTAAAGTCCCTTACAGGTTTTCCTTTCTGAACTTGCAGGTGGAAGAATCTGAATGCTTTGGTTTTTACTACAATCACTTAAAACTACCCCCATATTGTTTTTAACCTCTTCATTAGTCTTTGTCAAAGCTTTATTTAATTTTCCTTGGTGACCCCACGTTGGCAGAGGTTACAATCATTAAAACATACAACCTATAGAGGACACACAGCTTCAGGAGGTTATGCTTTTAATAAAATAGAATAGAGACCTACTATAGACCTGACAGGACATGAGAGATGCATGATCATTTACACAGGATTTCCCCAACTGCTGCAAATATAGTTTTTTTCCTCCTATTTTGTTAAATGTATAAACATCTGAGCCTGCATATCAGATCCTCATGTTGGTCAGGAGGATGGTCTTTAGATGTGAATATTTTAAGCTTAATTTAGTTCTATGGAAGCAAAATCAACTCTGTGGGGTATTTGGAACAGTGTGAAAGGAAAAGCTAAGCCTAAATTCACATTGTTTTCATTCAAAAACTGTTTATTTTATGTATAAAAAATAACCCGAACATCCTCAATGATCCTCAGTGAAACCTGACTGCTGGTTATTGCGTTGCATCAGTCGCAGCTAATCTTACAGTACAGGTGCTGGTCATAAAATTAGAATATCATGAAAAAGTAGATTGATTTCAGTAATTCCATTTAAAAAGTGAAACTTGTATATTATATTCATACATTACATACAAACTCATATATTTCAGATGTTTATTTTGTTTAATTTTGATGATTACAAATGACAACAAATGAAAATCTCAAATTCATCATATCAGAAAATTAGAATATTGTGAAAAGGTTCAAAATTGATGGCCCCTGGTGCCACACTCTAATCAGCTAATTAACTCAAACCACCTGCAAAAGCCTTTAAATGGTCTTTCAGTCTAGTTCTATAGGCTACACAATCATGGGGAAGACTGCTGACTTGACAGTTGTCCAAAAGACGACCATCGACACCTTGCACAAGGAGGGCAAGACACAAAAGGTCATCGCTAAAGAGGCTGGCTGTTCACAGAGCTCAGTGTCCAAGCACATTAATAGAGAGGCGAAGGGAAGGAAAAGATGTGGTCGAAAAAAGTGTACAAGCAAGAGAGATAACCGCACCCTGGAGAGGATTGTGAAACAAAACCCATTCAAAAATGTGGGGGAGATTCACAAAGAGTGGACTGCAGCTGGAGTGAGTGCTTCAAGAACCACCACACACAGACGTATGAAAGACATGGGTTTCTGCTGTCGCATTCCTTGTGTCAAGCCACTCTTGAACCACAGACAGCGTCACAAGCGTCTTGCCTGGGCTAAAGAGAAACAGGACTGGACTGCTGGTGAGTGGTCCAAAGTCATGTTCTCTGATGAAAGTAAATTTTGCATTTCCTTTGGAAATCAAGGTCCCAGAGTCTGGAGGAAAAGAAGAGAGGCACTTCATCCACGTTGCTTGAAGTCCAGTGTAAAGTTTCCACAGTCAGTGATGGTTTGGGGTGCCATGTCATCTGCTGGTGTTGGTCCATTGTGTTTTCTGAGGTCCAGGGTCAACGCAGCCACATACCAGGAAGTTTTAGAGCACTTCATGCTTCCTGCAGCTGACCAACTTTTTGGAGATGCAGATTTCATTTTCCAACAGGACTTGGCACCTGCACACAGTGCCAAAGCTACCAGTACCTGGTTGAAGGACCATGGTATCCCTGTTCTTAATTGGCCAGCAAACTCTCCTGACCTTAACCCCATAGAAAATCTATGGGGTATTGTGAAGAAGAAGATGCAATACACCAGACCCAACAATTCAGAAGAGCTAAAAGCCACTATTAGAGCAACCTGGGCTATCATAACACCTGAGCAGTGCCACAGACTGATCGACTCCATGCCACGCCGTATTGCTGCAGTAATACAGGCCAAAGGAGGCCCAACTAAATACTGAGTGCTGTACATGCTCATACTTTTCATGTTCATACTTTTCAGTTGGCCAACATTTCTATAAATCCTTTGTTTTTATTGGTCTTCAGTAATATTCTAATTTTCTGATATGATGAATTTGAGATTTTCATTTGTTGTCATTTGTAATCATCAAAATTAAACAAAATAAACATCTGAAATATATGAGTTTGTATGTAATGTATGAATATAATATACAAGTTTCACTTTTTAAATGGAATTACTGAAATCAATCTACTTTTTCATGATATTCTAATTTTATGACCAGCACCTGTAAGTCTGTGATCACATACTCTGGTCAATGTGATGCACCTTGACATGAGTGGGTGAGGGTTCCTGCTGTGAAATCCTCATTGGGCTTTGCCCTTAGCAGTGTCCCTGACCCTTGCTGATGGATGTAGATGTTTTAAAATAGTTTTATTATTTAAGGAGGCATTTTGTTCCCCAAAATATTTGTCAGTCATTATTGAAGCTTCATTTAACTTGTTTAACTGGCCACAACAAAATCCCCAAAAACAATATTAAACCAACTTTAAGTCTGAGTCTGTAGTACGTTAACCCCTCTAGTCTAGCCTGCCTTATAAAACAGGATGACAGGATGAGGCTGCAAATATGGAGGCACCCCATACGGCCTACGGACGGGATTGGACAGTAAACGGGTTGAACATTGAGTCCCTCTGAAGAAGACATCGCCCAGTTTGTATTTTTATTCTTTTAGATCAACACAAAAACCAAGATCTCTTGAAAGTAGAGTATGAAAAAATCTTGTATTCAGATCAAATATGTGTTGAGACTTTGTGTAAAGTAGAATCTGATCTGTTTTAGGAGTTTTTCCCTGAGATCTTCTCCTCTCTTTAGATGCAACAAAGGTATTACCTATTACAGCATCTTATGATGACAGCCTTTACTTAAAAGTATAGTGGAGGGTTTTCACACATTTTTAAAAAGACCCGCCATCTTCTATGTTAGACTCACCACCGGTACGTGAAAATTGGGACGAGTGCGAGCATCTTCCACTATACCTTTAAACTACCATCTCCATAAATACAAAATACTTTCCTACATTTATATTTATATACTTATATTTCTAGGTCCATACAAAGAATATTTTTCTGCTTTTAAGTTCTCAGTAATACGGATGGGATGCATTATGTCTTTGTGGGGGTGTGATGGACTGAGACAACGAATCAGAGAAGCACAGGGCAGGTTGAGAAAAAAATGGAAACAGATTCATTTACTGCAAAATTTGGAACTCGAAACATACTGTAATTTAGGGCGCAAAAAGAAAATGAAGTCAACAAAGCCAAACTTAACACAGTCAACTGAAGTATTAACTGACCTAACAAACTGACACACAATGGGAACATATATACTGGCTGATCAGCCATTTTGACACAAGAGGGAACATTACATATATTTACCTAAACAAAACTACAACAAAATGACCAAAATAATCTATACAATACAAAATCAGCAACTTATGAGACAAAATAGCTTAAGCAATTAAACTATCCAACTTTGCAACAAAAAACAAACAAAACATAAAAACTTTCCCACATCTCTACTGAAATAAGCACACTTGGTAGCCTCCCAGGAACTGGCAACTCAAAAGAAAAGTATTAGTTAAAGTAAAGGATACAAGTTAAATGATTCAAGCAAATGTGTGCACCCAAATAGTTGACTGGTGCCAAATCAAAAAGAATCAAAAACAATACGGTAAAAAAATATAAAGTGCTATATTGAAATAAAAAGAATTACTAGACCATTTATTGTGGGGCTGTACATGCTGCCATCACAGGGGGTATGTTAATACATGTTTGCTTCGATATTGGTCCAGAACCGCAAAAGTGTGCAGAAGTGGTTTGGCATCAACAACGTAACACAACTGTATATGTTTTAAAGTATGAGGAACCGAGCAATCACTGACCAGAAATGATCAACTATCTGCGACACAGGGCTGTATAAAACAGGTATTCTCTACATGAATCATGGTCAATTGATTGAAGTCATTCAGGGCAGTAAAATAGCCTCCTACATTACTCCTTTTTGTTTGATTGTTTGTTAGGAGGAAGAGCTGATACTTCATTTTATCTTCCCTTAGCTGGACTTAGATCAGTTTCTACACAAGTTCATGTGGGCGTGGCATGAATGCTGATCCTGTTAAAGCCTTAACCTCAGCTGGCAGGAATCAGAGGAAACCTTGGCAGTAAAAGGGTAAGAATATGAGATTTGACGTGATTTTATATGCTGCCAACGGGAGCACTGGAGTAGTCCTGGAGAGCAGAAAATTTATCGTAGGAAGCATTTTAAGACATAAATCACAACAAATCAGCCAACTGAGAGGAAAGAAGCTGCTGACATAAAGAATTATTCACACAGTCTGATGAATCTGTGTGATAAACTAATAACATCAAAGTAACATTAAACCAAAACGTAATTATCAATCAAGATGAAGCAGAGGAAATTTCCTATAAAAGTATGTAATTTAAGTAAGATAAGATAGACTTTATTGATCTCACAGTGGAGAAATTGACTTGCCACATTGGCTCAATAGTCAAAAGAAGGTGGCAAAAGTTTGAAGTGGTGCATGGGGTATATACAGTATATACAGTGCTTCCACTTGTACACTAACGTTCAAAAGTTTGGGGTCACATTGAAATGTCCTTATTTTTGAAGCAAAAGCGCTGTACTTTTCACTTAAGATAACTTTAAAATAGTCTTAACTTTAAATAAATACACTCTCTACATTGCTAATGTGGTAAATGACTATTCTAGCTGCAAATATCTGGTTTTTGGTGCAATATCTACATAGGTGTATAGAGGCCCATTCCCAGCAACTATCACTGCAGTGTTCTAATGGTACAATGTGTTTGCTCATTGGCTCAGAAGGCTAACTGATGATTAGAAAACCCTTGTGCAATCATGTTCACACATCTGAAAACAGTTTAGCTCGTTACAGAAGCTATAAAACTGACCTTCCTTTGAGCAGATTGAGTTTCTGGAGCATTACATTTGTGGGGTCAATTAAACGCTCAAAATGGCCAGAAAAAGAGAACTTTCATCGACAGTCTATTCTTGTTCTTAGAAATGAAGGCTATTCCATGCGAGAAATTGCTAAGAAATTGAAGATTTCCTACAACGGTGTGTACTACTCCCTTCAGAGGACAGCATAAACAGGCTCTAACCAGAGTAGAAAAAGAAGTGGGAGGCTGCGTTGCACATCTGAGCAAGAAGATAGGTTAGAGAACATTACATTAGAGAACATTAGAGTTTTTAGTTCGAGAAACAGATGCCTCACGGGTCCCCAACTGGCATCTTCATTAAATAGTACCCGCAGTAGCCTGTTTGTGCTGTCCTCTGAAGGGAGTAGTACACACCGTTGTAATTCTCTTGCAACAGCCACCTGCCTGGCGCCACGCCGAAATGTATGTTGCAGGCTGGTGAGAATCTCCCTTGATAGAAATGTTTACATTTGTTGTTTAAATCTATTTATTATACAAATTTTTACAGCATTGAAGAACATAATGAATGTTTGTTTGACCTCCTGTATAAAATTAAAACAAACAAACAAACAAAAATCCATCTTTTTCCATTTTCATACATTTTTGAAAAAGCTCCAAGGGGGGCATTAAAGAGCCACGGGTTGCCAACCCCTGAACTAGGCAGAGCTTGAACTGCATAAACTCAGCAAATAGACTGAATGGTTAATGCCTCGTCAGTCCATATTTGTGCAGTTTAAATTATCAGTTGTGCTGCTTGTGTTTCACAGATGGTAAAGATGTGTTTAAGCTCCGAAATAAACCAAACCGGCCTACTATTTCAGTGCAACTTAAGTGTAGATTTGTGCAGGTAAAACTAAATTAAAAATGCATTTTTAAAAGCCACCTACAAGCCTGTTAAGAGTTCATTCTGACTCAAAAAAGATGTGTCTCGGCTGCAATTTCTTTAAAATACATCAAAACTAAAACAGTCCCTGATTGGTTGCAGTGACACGATTTCACAGTAAAATTTAACATTTTCAGCTTCAGCAGTTGCTACTCTGCTCTTACCATGCGGGGCCGCTGTTTGACAACACCTCTGTTCTGTCAAGCAGAGGGCGGAGCCTTAGGGGTCTCTCACCACAGGGAATTCACCGTTGGCTGCTTCACTGCTCTTGCCCATGCAGTGTGCATAAGGATACTATGTAAATTTACAGCTCTTACCACAGACACCTATTCGGTGTGAATATACCAAAACAATAGGTCTCTTTATATATAAACAATCTTTATACAATCCATCTATATGGCTTTACAATATCAAATAGATCCCGATAATTGTAACTGTAACCTTACTCATGTCTTTACCACTTTCAAATACCTAACATTGATGCATGGACTCAACCTAAATCGATATGCAACAATATATATTTTTTTTATCTAACAGTTAACAAGATGTAGGTGTAAGATGTTTCTAAACAAGTTGATAAATATTGAGTTCTGTTCACTTTAAGTCTTTTAATAAACTAGATATTGTCATTTACAGTGTTTTATTCAGACTGAATCCTGGAAAAGAACATAGAAATCTCAGGCCAGAAATGCTTGTCTGGGTCACCCAACATGACATCAGCTGCATCATCTAAATCTTCTTCTCAGACACGTGAGTCATTGGATGCCTTCCCTGCCACTGCTAATGAGATTCCCCTAGTTAAGTCCTCTAATCTGCCCTGAGGAGCTGGGGGCAGCAAAGTGTGAAGTGAGTCTCCTCAAAGGAAGAGGGGAAGCAGGGACAGAGTTTATTTTCTCCAGCGAGGACCCAACCCCACATATCCAACATCTCCTCTGCAACCCTCTTACCACATCTATGTGTTCAGAAGAGGGCTGTCCTCAGGTAGTGTTGCAAAGGGAATCAGGAGGAAGAAGCAACTGTTCAACTGTGACTATCTGCAAAGGTAAGAAATCTGTAGTTACTTTTGTACGGTGTGCCCATAAGCAAAAAACCACATTAATATCATGCAAAACGGCGGTGTAACATTTGTCACTTTTTGTCCTTGTGTGTGCCTTAGCTTTATGTTTTAGCTACTTTCCAGACATCTGACTGATGATAAGCACTTCCCTGGTGTATGTAAGCAGAGCATGGAAGGCCTAAACCTGAGCGTCTGAGCCTTGTCCAACGTCTTGTCCTTGTCCTTGCTAGGTCTCAGCCTGAGTTATTGCTGAGAGACTGCCAGAGTAACACAGCATGAGTGAAGGAGAAAGCCATTACAGATCCGCGCGTCAGCTTTCGAGGAAATAGGAGTGGTAGATTCCTCTCTGCCAGACAAACTGCCTATCATCATGGAGTCTTTGGCAAGAGTGAAGAAGTCGCTGAGGTCGCCCATCAGGAGCCTAACCAGTTGCGTGACGGGGGGGGATAAGAAAAGGTTGTGTGCAAGACAAAGAGTGAAGAGGGGCAGCAGCTACCGAGGCTGCAGCGTACTGAGGAAAACCCCACCTTTTCCAGATCTTAAAGACCCCTCAGTCTTTCGTTCATACCAGGCTGACCTGGAGAAAGAGAGGCAAGTGGAGGCAGTTAGTCAGAAACAGACAGTCCTTGGCTTGCTAAAGTATTAAATCCTTTGACATTATTCACATTTTGCATTGAACTTATGACACCCACAATCTTGAAATATTTTGCTCGGATTTTGTGGGACAGACATGTATAAAATGGTGAATAATTGTCAAGTGAAAAGAAAATGCTACCTATAATCCTTTTTGAAAGTATTCACAGAGCTATACTTTTCAAATGTACTTAAGTTTCAGCAATATTCCAAATGGTATTAGATTAATCTCTTCCATAGCAGTACTTCACATAATACACCATCATGACAGCTGTTGCAATTTGTATTATGAACAAATAATTAAGGAATTACATTTAATATTTACAGCCTTTGCCACGGAGTTTAAAACTGAGCTATGGTGCATACAGGATAATATTGGAAAATTGCATTTGCATTCAAACCAAACTATTCTGATACCCCTAATCAAACCCAGGGTAGCCTCCAAATATGACCTAATGCATAAAAAGAATTTGGCTTATCCCAACTTGATCTTACTGTAAATCCGACTGTTCTGAAAATGTCTCAAAGGTATGTTTTAGAACATTAGGGAAAATGAAGACCAAGAAATAGATCAGACAGGTCCAGAATACAATTGTAGAGAGGACTAAAGCAGAATTAGGTTATATGATAATATCCAAAACCTTAAATACCTTACAGAAAACAGCAACAGCAGTGCAGCAACAGCCGTGGCACCTTTTTGGCAGTTGCATGCCAGTGAAAGCTCCACAGGAAGTGTCACTATGAGCTCCAGCTGCCACTGGAAGAGCCACTAGCAGCTGCCACAAATTGAGCCTGCTACCTCGTCTGGAATGGAAACAGCTGTAAAACAACTGCAAACCTTTTAAGATGTAGACATCCACCTAAACTGTTAAAAGACTCCAGCGACACTAGAGGTGCAGGTAATAAAACAACATCATCTTGATGAAGAGACCTCCACCTGAGAGGTGAAGGGGAGAACAGCAATAGTCAAAATTCCTGCAAGAGGGAGGCTTTATCTTCAGCAGGGACAGATCAATTAGTTTACAGATCACGGGAAAGAAAACGGAGAAAACTTGGAAGGTAACCTGTTTGAAGCTGCATATGATTAATTTACAAGTGAGAGGGTCACGTTCCAGCGGAATACGACTCTAAAAATAAGTCTAGAACTACTATAAAGTTAATTAGATAAGATTTCCGGTTGAAATCTAACTTTAACAAGATCTTTACGCTGCTTTTTATGATGCTCTCCTTCAAAACTGACTGACTCTAACCTTGCAAGGTGCAATGGTAAATATTTAAGTCTTTAGAATTGGTGTTGAAGCAATAGCATTACTGTTGCAAAGACCATATTATACAAGGTTGTAGCTTAAGAGAGCTGATAGCACATATCTTCCTTAAAGCGCACAGTAAGCTTGTATGAGCTATGATAACAGCAACTTTTAAATAGAGCGTGCACGAGGAGAAATGGGGCTTGTGTATGCTGTCCCACTTGTTTAATAGACGTTCCACCTCGGGAGCAGGTACATAGGGCAAGTCTTTTTAACAATATGCAAAAATCCTCCACAATACCTTTAAGTTTTTTAGTTATATTTGCACATCTTGAAATTAACATTTAATATCTTTCACATTATGCACTATTTTGCCCGGGTTTATCATATGAAATCCTTTCAAAACACTTACTATGGCCTCATTATTCTGCAGAAAGTTCACATAAACAATAAATACTCCTACAAGCCACCTAGCCACCGCACAAAGCAACTCGGCTGTGATTGGTTACTTTTCATGAAATCACGCATCCCAAGTCCTAATTGTTGCCCAGTTAACCAGTGTAGATGTCTTAAACCTCTTTTTAATAACGGACACGCTGCACATAGTCAGAATCCAGTATTCATCCAGAAGATGTTATATCTTTAACATGCAGGTTAGAAACAGTTAATGAGAGTCTATATGAAGTTAAGCTGCTCTGGGAGTATTTCTTGTGTGTGTGGACTTTTGGCAGAATGCTGACGCCATACATTTAGGTTTGTGGTTGTAAGGAACAAAATTAAAATCAATTTCTATTTAACCCTTAATTCTCTAAACATCCCTCAAAGCAAATATGTACTGCAGCATGTACAATCCCTAAGTTTTGTGTTCTCCATAAACATCTCAAACATCTCAGTGAAAAAAAAAGGTTGAATGTGGGAGTGTTAATGTGAACTGTATCTTATGTGGAAGCCTTCCTTATCCAGTTTAACTGAACTTAGTATTGTCGTGTTTCTTTTCTTTTTATACAGGAAGCTGCGGGAGGCAAAGAACACTGAGAAGAACGCTCAGAGAGCAGCAATGAGAGCTCACTTTAGGAGAAAATATCGGCTTTCTGAGGTATGTTAGGAAAAAAATAACTTGTAATTCTTATTAGTTTGGTCACATGCGTAATCTTTTCTTTGAGGTACACTTTTTTGTAGAGTAAAACCGATGTGAAATATTAATCAACATTTTTTACTGTCATTCAAATCCCTGTTGTGCAGAGACGTTTATTTAAAATAATATAACACTGGATCTCTATTAACTTAGTAACAGCAGCTAAAGACAAATTGTATCCCCGTCTCTTTGGTTGAATCTAAGAAACATATTAAGGATCAAATGCTCTGAGAAATAAAACACGGTCATTTGGCTAAATTAAGTTATATATCAAATAGCTGAAAACTTACAGTAGATGATAAACTGAGGAACGATCGATCCGTGATCTCTCAGCGCAATCTTAACTATCTCACTATTAACTAAACATTTCGTATAATTTTTCTCACAGGGTCTCTTCTTAATCAAGCTAATTTATGTTTATCCGCAGCTGCTGTTCAATTAACAATCAATGAGGTTTTCAACTAACAAACTATGAGTAATAATTAAACCTTATTGATCTCACACTGTAGAAATTTACCTCTGCATTTAAACCATCCCCTTGGGGAGCAGTGGGCTGCCATTGTGCGACGCCAGGGGAGCAGTGTGGGGTTAAGGGTCTTGCTAATGGACCCAGAGTAGAGGCTGTGGGGATCGTACTTGCAACCTGCTCATAGCAAAAGCACACTGCTCTAACCACTTGACCAATACTCAAACTTAACTGAAGACAATTATTGTCTCTTTTTTTTCTTTTATCTTTTCATGTATTTGCATATAATGTATGTATTTAATGCTACTAAATTACTGTGGGAGTTCAGCTCTTGTTCCGGTCATCTTTTGTGGCCTTCACCTCTTTCCCTGTTTTGTTTTGCCAACACGATTCAGAGCCCTGAGGACACGAACCACCTGAGGTCTGCTGGCAGCAAAGTATCGCTCCCCCCTGAGCTGTCCAAAATGATTCATCCTGAAACCAAAACCAAGGACGACAGCTTCAACCTGCTGAGCGCCCTCCAAGGCCTCAGCATCAGCAGGGCTGTGTTTATAGGAGGGAAACCCAGCAGGACGCCCACACCAACTCATGGAGACTCTTGTCGGGTCATGTAGTCAGTTGTGTTTTAAAATGACAGAAAGATGTGCTGCCAGATGGTGTTTTATCTTATTTATCAGTACTGCAATGTAATGACTGTAAAATGTATTACAAATTACAAATTATTTCCAAGCTTGTAAAAGACATGTTCTTAATGAAACCTAGCATAGTGACTTTAATGAAAGAGCTAAAAATGATTAGAAAATTGGAAAATGTTTGATGAGATTTTTCTTACCATTTGGGCAAAAGATCTAAATAACAAAATAAACTACCAGGAACCTTTGGCTACAAAGCATTGAAAAACACACAGTGGAGCACAGAACTTATTCACTCACATTTAATGTTTCTTTTAGTTTGTGGCCTTGAAAGCTCTTATAGTAGCTATATGAGGGATTTGGAATAATGAATCTGTTACTTTAGCAAACTATATAAAACAAAAACACATGTTAATAAAGTACAGACTGCATTTAATGCATAGATCTTTGTTCTATATTACCCTTTTTATGTAAAACAGCAAATGTTTGTGTCCCAAACCAATGATGCAGACATGTTAAAATGTCTTGATTAGAGCTAAAATATGTTAAAATAATCAAATTATTGTTTGCACTTCCACCTATGTAGCAAAATATCATCAAATGCTTTGTGAAGTCAGCACCCCTTGATCTTGGGACAATTTATTAGCTGATGCTTCCTGCAGAGCTTCCTGCAGAGGTTAGTTGTGCTTAAATGTAATTGCAAGCTTACAAATGAATGTAAACCAGTGGACAGTTGTTTTTAGCTTTTGTTTATTCATTAGCAACATTTTCATTGTTTTATTAGGCTAATTACTTCATAGCAAATGCAGGTTGCAGTGTTACTAAGAATGCTTGCTGACTGGGCATTCAGTAAATACTATAGATCCAACTGGGTGATCTATACACAAGTAAGGAACCTCAGGGATAAATGGTGATAAAATGTTAAACTCTTATGTTTTACATTTAAACATCACAATGTTTTATTTAAATGTTTTCCTTAACTGTGCTGTAAAATGTAGCGTCCCCTCATAACAGATCTGTTTTTGCTTTTTTGTTGTTGTCCAATTTAGACAAAAATACCTTGAGTATTGATGCAGTTTCTTAAAAATACAGAATCAACCTGTCCCTGTTTAAAAAACAAAATTAACTTGATGTGTCACCCTGGGAGGCAGCAGCTGCCATCAAGCCTCTTTATTAGTGAGTCTTTTCTATCACCGTGGAGGAATTTTAATCCACTCTAGTGAAATACTTTAAAACCAGACACAGTTAAGAATGTTGGAGCATTAGTAGCCTCTTTGATGGTAGACATCATTTCACCATTCAAACATTGGACTAAACACTGTATCAGAACACTGTATCTGTTTTCCTGTTATGAGCTATATTTCAGGCTCTTATCTTGTTTTTTCTGTTAAGCTTATAGTAAGTGATGAGGAAGATTAATTTTTTTTATACCAAATGGAAAAGAAATAAAATAACCTGAAAAGATTTTGTGCTGGTGGAAACATTTATTGAAGATTTTGTCCAGCTGCTGTTTCTGTTTTGTGAAGATATTCTGGCTCTGTTGTCTTTCTCTTGAACTCTGACGGCAGGATTAATAAATCACTGCCTACTATCGGTTTACAGACCAATAAAAACACATCCAAGGCTCTATGAGGTTGAAAATAGTGCAGAAAAATAACCAGTCCTGACCACTCTGGATGAGAGTGATCGACACATCCTGGTTGGACCATGAGGAGAGTGCAGGGAACATCTGGGTCCAGGATTTTAGGTGCTTTACCTCAAAAGCGTTTTTGTGTGACTGCAGCAGGGACTGTGGTACATGCAAACCTAGACGGAGGTAAAGGAGCTCTAAAAGCAGTCAGAAAAGGGGGTGTGGATGGCGGGGTGAAACGCTTTGAGGAGATCCCTCACACGGGGAGGAATGGTTGGATCAACCTGCTGAGGTTCTGGAGAGAAAATCGTTTCCAGCAGCTCCACAAGCACATGGAGAGGACCTTCAACGCCCTCGGCCCCATCTACAGGTACAGAAAGGCTTACAGGTAACATGCATTGTTTCCTGTTTGTGCTTTAGTTGTTTTTACACCAGCTTTTCTGCCTATGTTTAAAGGGAGAAGGTGGGCACTATTAGCAGCGTGAACATCTTGCTGCCATCTGACATTAGTGAGCTGTTTCAGTCGGAGGGGCTGCACCCTCGACGTATGACCCTGCAGCCGTGGGCCACACACCGAGAGATACGCAACCACAGCAAGGGAGTTTTCCTCAAGTCAGTGCCCTGTCTCTGCTTTAATCACCTCTGTTGTGGAAATAAGCACTTCTTTGCAGTCTGTAGAGATTTCTTAGATCATTATTGCAATTTAGTAATATTATAGTAATTTATAAGTAGTTTCCATTTGAGGAGGGGGGCCAAAATAGATGGAAAGAAGCATAGTATATTTTACTTTCTTGTCCTTCTTATTACCAAGAGATGAAATGCAAAAAGATTAAATAAAATAGTACAAAATCAAACATAAAATTATTACTATAAATATGTTTTAGTAAAGCTTTGCAGTTAATATTTGAGTTCAGTTGCTGTGATTTTTCACACTGACTGGGGAATTATCTTGATGATCTTAAAGTTTTAACTCCAGTGATCTTTAATTTGGTCAAACATTAAAGATGATCAGGTCACATTAAACAGAAAACCTTCAACTGATTATTACTCAGTCCATGAAATTGTTTTCATTTTAAAAACATTTAAAAACTACTGGACTGAATAAAAAATGCCCAGTGTAAAAAGATAAAATTGTATATCTTTATGTATTGATTAAAATTAAATTAGAAATAATTCAATATGGTTTGTTTGGTAACAGCTTATTAAAGTTTTTACAGTGAATAAGTACCTCCTTACAAATTTGAATGAAATATGCACATAATTATTTTAGCTGAATATATATATTTTTTCTTACTTACAATTTTCTCAGATCTTAGTAAAACCTATTAAAAGGTCCGGTATATCTTATTCACTAATATTGGTTTTGGATACAGGGGTCTTATTTTAAACAGATCTTGTAGTTTAGGTACTTTATAACAAACTTCTGTACCAATTTATTTGTAAAGACATTGCTGACATTGAAAAGCTGTGCTCTGTTCTAAATAATATGAACTGCTTCTATAATGGTACTTAATGCTTTGGTGAATGACTGAAGTGATCCTTTTCATTTACTTTTATTTGTTTCAGTTAGCATTAAGGTTCATATTAAACATTTTACCTTGCAAAAGTATTTATGTCCTTTTAAATGTTTTGCATTTTCATACATTATTACTAAAAGCTCCAAAGCGCTATATTTGGATTATATGGGATAGATCAGCATAAAGCCATTTATGATTGTAATGGGAAATTATAGTATTTAAATTCAAAGTTAAATTACATTTTAAAGTCTAATAGAGCAGACCTGTGTGTGATTTAGCTTTATAACTGAACATATGCAAACAAACACCATGTAAGCCAAGGAAGGAAGTAGACAGGTCAGGGATAAATTTGTGGAAAAGTTTAATGCAGGGACATGTTGTGAAAATAAATACCAAAGATCACAAACACACCAGCAACTGCTGATCCACTTAAACTGACAGGCCAGAAAATGAATGGAGATAAATATTAAATATTATTTAAAAATAAGCTTCCAAAAACTCTCATACAATCAAAATTAGATTAGGGCTGAGTATAAAACTTCACCTGCAACTTTCACCCAAACAAATAATTCATATTTAGTTTGCATGTCTTTTAACTTTCATTTTTTTCTCTACAGCAGTGTTTTTCAATCCTGGTCCTCAAGGCACCCTGCCCTGCATGTTTAGATGTTTCCCAGCTTTCACACACCTGTTATCAATTGCTAGCAGATTATCAGGCTTTGCTGAACTGCAATCATCTCAATCTGGTTTGCTGAACCTCAGAAACATCCAAAACATGCAGAGCAGGGTGCCTTGAGGACCAGGTTTGAAAAACACTGCTCTCCAGCAACAGGTCAGTGAACACAAATTCTCCAATCTGCTGCTGAACACATTCAACTCTTACATGTCTCTTTAAAAAAAAAAGATGTTGCAGATGAAGAGTTTAAGGTAACGCTTTCTTTTACAGTAAATCAATAACCATGTAATAACATGGTAATAACATAGCAAGTTACATTATATTACTAGTTAACAAGAAAAACTATGTGGAATTTTGGTAAGTGCTGTGATTCAAATTTTAGGCAGACAAAGTAAAGTCAGACTTCTAAGATTTAAGATTTGAGGTAACTCAGTCATTTCGCCAACAGCAATAAATTAATGTGTTGTTATCTAGTAAAATGCACTTTATTACTTGGCATATAACAGAAAACCAAACCTAGAAGACGGCAAGCTAATTGTCTGAACTAAACTCGTATTTATTTGTAACTCGAGTTCAGTTTAATAATGCTTTATTTACCTGATCATAAGTTACAATTTACTTTCTAAGCCGTTGGCAGGTGGTGGCCAATAATAGAAAGTGTTAAGTGATAACCTAATGGTAATTACCCACCAAAAATCTCCATTGTTACATAGCAGCATACAATTATAATAATTACATGCAGGTAAGTACTTTTAAATTATATAACTTAAGTTTGGGGTAATTACTAAATAAAGTCTTTCTTGTTACAAGGTAATGTAATGTGACTTGCAATGTTATTACCATGTTATTATAAGGTTACTGATATATTGTAAAAGAAAGTGTCACCTTTATATTTATAATCTTTTGCTAAAGGTAAATATTTAGCTGCACAAATTCAGATTTTTTTGCTGTGCAATTCACAATGCAATGTAGAGACGTTTGCACCCAAAATACAGATCTACTTCTACAGAATATGCTCATTGTAACTTTGGAAGACCTACAGCGATCCACAGGTGACCTTATAGAAGAATGGTTAAAAGAAAATCGCTGTTAAAAGGTAACCATAACATGTCCTATCTGCAGTTTACCACAAGCCCTGTACAAGTCACTGTTAACAGGAAATAAGGTGATCGAGTCAGATAAGAAACAAGCTAATATTATTGTACACCAAACATACCATCTAGTCAGTAGTGGGAGCATCTGATTATTTTTGTGAAAAAATAAAAAATAAAAATCATATACAACAAAACCCATGTCTTCTCAGATTCACAGTTTTGTGTTGTACTGTAACATAAAAAATAGATAAAACACATAACATTTTGTGGTGTTAATATGACAGAAAGAATACAGCCAAAAATATAAAATATAAAAATGTGTTAGAGGGGGGTAGTGATTCTGCATGCCTGTATTCACTATTAATATAATATTGACTGAAAAAAAGTTGTAACGATGGTTAGAGAGGAGTAACAAAAATGGTTTTGCTCAAAATAATTCTAATTTTGCTTAATTAAAATCTACTGGTTTGGTCTAATGCTTCCCTGTGGCTCATCTCTGCACAGAAATGGGGAGGAATGGAGATCTGACCGCCTTCAGCTCAACAAGGAGGTGATGCTGAGTGCAGCTGTGAAGCGCTTTCTCCCCCTCCTCGAGGAGGTAGCAAAGGACTTCAGTGGAATGCTGCAGGCAAGGGTGGAGAGGGAAGGGAGAGGAGAGGAGGGCAGGCGGAGCCTCACGATCGATCCAAGCCCTGACCTTTTCCGCTTCGCACTGGAAGGTCAGGGAGCATCTTCATCACGCTTTGCTTTATTAGCTGAAATACTCATAAAGGCCATAAAAGTAAAACATCACAGGGGTGGTGTATATTAATGCAGCTTTCATACAATCTGCCCAAAAACCATTAATTCTAGTCAGAAAGGCTGGAGGCTCCAGCATCTTCTGACATTACTTACACAACTTACAGAAATATCACTCTTCGGTGAAATTTGATAGAATTTCACTGAACAAATTAGAACTCATTTTAGCAACATATTTCAAAGTGAATATATTTTGACCTTGTTTTGAGCCAAACGACAACCTGACCTCTTTCACGTGATGATGATATCGGAGGTCAAGGAAAACATATCAAGTAAACATCAGAGGTGATGTTCTGCAGCCTTTCATCCTTCTGCCACCACATTCCTAACTGTCAGTCCCCCTTGTGTGACTCAGCGTACCATGTGTTTCTCTGCATGCGTGAGTGTGAAGCTGATGACTTCATGGCTCTGATCTGAACGGGCTGCGGCGCACGGAAGGTGCAAAGCCAGAGGAGAATTGACTCAGTTGAAACTAAGCCCAGGAGGTTTATGAGAGGATAAAGTATTGAAAGCACGTCTGACAGTGAATGGATGTGTGAGGAGGGGGCTGGAGCTTCTCCATGACAATGCATCTGCTTCTCTTTGCAGGGATGGATTCACTGATGAAAGCAAAGAGAAATGTGAGGATGATATCCAGGGAGAAATAATCATCTACTGTGGTGCTAAATGTTATCACATTGTGTCACATCATAAACTCAAACTTCAGTGTATCTGTTGGGGATTCTGGTGATAAACCTACACAGAGGGTTACATTTTTTTTTTTTGGAGGTGGAGGAGGATTACATTTTCATCACTTTATAAATAAATGTGACATGCAGCTGTGTTTAGTCCTCCCAGCTGAATCAGTACTTTCTAAAACCAGCTATTGTGTATTTATAATGGAACGTCTTCTGCATGTGTCTCTTTCAGTTTTGCAAAATGAGACACTGGAATTTCCCCCCATTTATATTTCCCAGTGTCATATTCAGGGGCAGCTCTACAGGGGGGAAAGGGGGAAAACTGCCCCCTACTTTAAACAACAGTGAAATACTTACTAAATGATTACTAATCGTAATCATTTAGTAAGCTGTTCTTGTGACCTAAGTTAAGGTAGTAAATCATTTATTTTTTCATATTGCAGTAGACTTCTTACTTAACTGGGCTGATTTTTCTAAATCTTGTAGATCACAATGAAAATTAGTGAAGAAATTTCTGTAAAAAGAAAAGGGATAAGAAGGATAAACGACGGATATATGAGAAAAGAAGAGAGACGAGGAAGAGACTTGCAACAGCTGAAGAAATGAGTAAATCTTATTAGTGGTGAAGATAAGAGTCAGAGGGAGAAAGAAGACAATGTAGAGGAGAATGATGAGTGATAAGAGGAAGCTTCAGAGTCAGAGAATCCAGCCTATCCATCTGGACCATCTGGTGCATATTTATTATCAGCATAAATTCCAGTTTAGGTTTTAAAATCTTTTTGAGACTTTTCGTTTCCTTGGAAGTCTTTACAAGAGTCACCTTAAGCTCTCCTAAAAGTGATGGCTAAAGTAGCTGTTAGTGGGAATTTAAGTTCCTTTTTGACTTCTACTTCTTTGTTTTGTGGAATATTTCTTCTCACATACCTGAAAGTTGTCTTTGCTTCTCAGAAGAGTAAAGTACACCTTTTTTTTCCCAATTCATCATATAAGAGATCTCTTATATATTTTCTTATAGAAATGAAGGAGTCCAGCTTCGCCACCATGCCTAAACATTTTGTGCCTTCTTTGCCCCCCCTCCCTTGTGTCAAACTTATAGGATCCACCATTGGTGAGATTGGAAGGAGAGGATCTGTGGTTTGCAATTCTTGCCAAAAAATATCGATTGTATTTAGCTTTGGACTTTGACTAGGCCACCATATCACATCAGTAAACTTTGATTTGACCTTTTTTTTTTATAGCTCTGGCTTTATATTTATATTAGCTTTATTCCTGGGCAGCATTTCATTCTGTACATCTCTATCCTGCAGGATGATGACTTAACTGTGGATCACCATAACGATAGTGTGTCTTACTTTAGACTTAGACAGATTTATTTTTGTCATTTTGTATACACGAATGTAAACAAAAATAAATTTCATTTAAAAAGTGTGTGTCAGGTTGATTGACAATCTTGGCAAATTTTCTTGATTGCTAATATTCTTGCTTTTTAGCCTGTCAGTTTTGGTCGATGTTCATGTTTTAATAGGTTTAACGGCTTTGAATATTGCTTTATGTCCTATCCTGCTTTAAATTGTTCTGTAGCTTTCTCCTTGACCTTTCTGGAGTGTTCCCTACTCTTTATGGTGCTGTTTGTTCTCTAATTTTCTCCGTAAGACTTTGTGATCCGTAATAAAACCACCTGATCTCTTCTGAGATTAGGCTGGATACAGATGGATTCAACTGACTAATTAAGTGAGATTAGGTGATCGGCCCAGATACAGTCCAAGGGTAGCAGAATAAAGGGGGTTGAATACGTTTGTAAGATGAGTAAATTAATGAAAACCATTAATAGTTTCCTGCCTCTTGTGAAATGTGCACAATGATTATTCCAACAAAATTTAATACTTTTGTAAATCACAGAAAATAATTGAACAAGCTAAAAATAACCTTCAGTAGATTTTACAAATAAGCTATAGAAGCTGAACATTTGAGATCCAGTAAACTTTTTGTGTTTTTATTTTGGTTTTTCGCCATAAGGAGCACCAACCCCTCACCCATCTTAGTCTCCCACTTGTATCCTTTCTTCCTCTCTGCAGCCAGCTGCCATGTGATCTATGGGGAGCGTATCGGCCTCTTCTCCTCCTCTCCATCCCTGGAATCTCAAAAGTTCATCTGGGCAGTGGAGCGAATGCTGACAACTACACCTCCTCTCCTGTATCTCCCCCCTCGTCTGCTGCTCCGCATTGGTGCTTCCCTGTGGACCCAGCACGCCACTGCTTGGGACCACATCTTCAGTCATGGTAAGAAGAAATACAGCATCGTTTTGTTCACCCAAGAAATTTGCTCAGATGCAGTTTCCCCCTAACTGAGTTCTTCTGCTTCTTCAAGCTGAGGCCAGGATCCAGAAGGCTTACCAGCGTCTCTCATCCTCTAAGGGTCATCACTCTGTGGCTGGGACAGCTGGGGGCCAGTATACTGGGGTTCTGGGGCAGCTTATAGAGAAAGGGCAGCTATCTTTGGACCTAATCAAAGCCAACATCACCGAGTTGATGGCTGGAGGGGTTGACACGGTGTGTTTGCTAATCCACCTCTTTATTGTTCATGGACTGAGTCTGTGTCACATCTTATCTGATACTCTGTGCAGACCGCCGTTCCTCTGCAATTTGCTCTATTTGAGCTGGGACGCAACCCTGAGGTGCAGGAGAGGGTGAGGCAGCAAGTGAGGACATCATGCTCACAGGCAGGCGGAGATCCTCAGAAAGCCCTGCAGGGGGCACCACTGCTGAAAGCCACAATCAAAGAGGTTCTCAGGTACTTGGCTACACAAAGTCACTTATTTCTGTTATATTGTGTTTTTCACAACGCTGTGGGACTGTCTTCATCACTCAGCAATTCAATCCAAAAATAGGCAAAGTATGGGAAAAAATTAATCAGTCAGTTGTTTCACTTTGAGGCAAATAAACACACAATATTATTTTAAAGCTGAGGAATTCTGGCTCTGTAAATCAGCCTAAGGTACAGCTAAAATTAATGGTACATGTTTTTCTATTCATTGGAGAGAAAATAAATTCAATCACTAAGTATATGATTTGAGATTCTGTAATGAATATATATGCAAGTGTAACTTTACAAATGAGTAAACAATTTCCAGACAGCTGCTAATGTGTTCAGACTTTAAGTACAAAGATTAACTCCCTGCCATAGCAAATAACCACTTTGGATCTCTATTAAATAAATGATTTATAGTGGAAATTAAAAAATGCAAATTGCTTCTATTGAAATCTATGAGAGAAATTTCCCTGACAGAAAATAATGTAGGGGATCATAATAATCACAGTAGTCACAAAATATATAACCCAACAATTCATTTCTAATTTATGAATTCATTCAGTTTATTTCCATTAGTTTGATGTAACATCTGTAATTTATCATTTCCTTGCATTTAAGTATTTTTTTTTTCAACATTACCTTGTAATTATTATAGATGGCTGCCGTTTGTTGAATAGTTTCTTTTTTCTGTTTACCTCTGGTCTTAGATGCTTTGCAACTAGAAAGATTTTTTTGTGAGGTTCTCTTTATCCTTTGTGGACATTTGCTACGATGTGTAACCATAGCAATCAATGCAAGCTTTTTAAAATTATACTTCAGCTACTTCCAAAAGCTATTTCCACACTGCTTTAAAAATGAGGCGCAGAGGATGTTGAGCATGAGCAAAGAGAAGAAAGAATAGCAGGAAACTTAAGCAGTTTCTTCCATCACTCATTATGGACAAAGTGAGATATTTCAGTAACAAGTTAAAAGAGCTCCAAGTTCTTGCAAGGACTCAGACAGAATATCAGCAATGCAGTATTGTGTGTTTTATTGAAGCGTGGCTGCAGAATCACATCCCAGACTCCTCTGTCACTCTGCCAAGCTTTCTGACCAGGCAAACAGACAGCAATTAATAAAATGCTGGAAAACTCAAAGGAGCTGGCTTGGAATGGCTTGTAAAGAACAGATGGTGTCATCCAGTTACTGTAAAGATTTACCTCTGCCTCCTGATATTGAACGGTTGGCAGTTTGTTTTCATTCATATTATTTGCCCAGGGAGTTCTCTTTTGAAAACCATTTACATTCCACCCTCTGCTGATGCCAAAACCGCGTGTGAGATAATTACTTCCATTGTTGCAAAGCTATAGTTACAATAGCCAAATGCGTTTGTGACATGTGATTTCTATCACATGTCACTCTCTGTACTATACTGCCAATGTTCCAACAGTTTTGTAAACTGCTGCACAAGAGAAAACAAAACTCAAAACTAAATTAAAAGTTCAGAAATCGCGTTAAGTTCGAGGCTTTATAGAGTGGACAAAAACAAAAGCTTCTGTATTAGGTCCACTCTATAGAGCCACAAACTCAATGCTATTACTGACATTTTTAATTGAAAAAGCTTCCTGGATAGGAAGCAAAACGTCTTCAAACTTGGAAACAGAGTCCAGTGGATTGTTTTTTAACTGTTTTGGAATGTCATATGACTTTATTTCGCACAATTACATTCATTACTTCACCTCTATTCATCTTTCACACATCCACTGGAGACAGAAATGTAGTTCAATCCAACTGCAGGGGACCAGGAGATCAGGAATTTGCCACCTAGTGTGCTGCTCCTTATGGGAAATGCTGTCTGCCTTCAGGCAAAACCCTACAGCTTTTGTCCACTAGGAGGAGCCAAGATCGACCACAATTGAAAGTTCTTTAGAACTGCTTTATTAATACTTCTGGTTTTATAAAAGTCCAGATTTCTAACTCCAAACACACTCAACTCACCAATCTGAGATTGGTAACCGCTTTTTTGTGTGTTTTTTAAAAGTTAAACTTAAGGTTGTCTTGCAAATCAATTGAAAGGAAAATTGTTTAAATGGCTATAAAATATGAATATGTGTTTATTGGTGTGTTTCAGGTTGTATCCGGTGGGGATCACAGTGCAGCGGTATCCAGTCAGAGATATTATTCTCCAGAATTACCACATACCTGCAGGGGTAACTGTTGTTTACTCTCGTACTTTTTCCATATGTTCAAAAAAATATTTTTCTTATGTGTTGTTGCCTTCTTTGCAGACAATGGTCCAGGCCTGTCTATATCCGATGGGAAGAAGCTCACAAGTGTTCGAGGATCCCCTGCGCTTTGACCCTGGGCGCTGGTGCGGCAGCAGCAAGGACGATGGCCGGAGAGGAGAGGGTCAAGGGTTTCGCTCTCTGGCCTTCGGATTTGGCGCGAGGCAGTGTGTTGGGAGGAGGATTGCTGAAAACGAGATGCAGCTCTTGCTAATGCACGTGAGTCACTGCACACAGGAAGAGAGGAAGACAGGAGATCAATGATAAGGGAGGATTAGAAAGCAAGGATATGATGTTCGTAAACCCAAAACTATCTGGAATAATTCTGGCTGGATTTTTGACCTCTCTTCTTGGCAAATTCAACTGGTTGGTTTCTTGACACAGAGCTGCCTTTTAAGACAGTAGGTATGTACTATACTAATTCTTTCGGATTCTGGATGCAGTCAAGAGTGCTTCCCCAGTAGTGCCAGTACCCCCACTAACACCAACCCATTACCCACATTCTTAAAATTGAAGTATTAACTATGGAGCTACTTAATAAGCTACTGCGTTATTATGTATACACATATATGAGATAGGTGCCACCATAAGGGCGGGGGGCATGAAATAGCTCATTACCGTAGATGACGGTAGGAATGCAGATCGGTACACCGAGATCTTTGCTTTTTGGCTCAGCTCTCTCTTCACCACAATAGAGCGGTACAGCGCACGCTTCACAGCAGACGCCGCACCAATCTGCCTATCAATCTCCCGCTCCATCATCCCCTCATTCATTAACAAGACCCCAAGATACTCAAACTCCTCCACTAGAGGCATTACATCCTCCACAACTCGGAAAAGGTACTCTACCCTTTTGCAGCTCATCACCATGGCCCTGGATTTGGAGGCACTGATGCTCATCCGGCCGCTTCATACTCGGCTGTTAATTGATTGAGATTGAGAGCTGTAGATCACGCCCTGATGAAGCCAATAGAACTACATCATCTGCGAATAACAGAGACGCAATCCTAAGGCCACCAAAACAGATCCCCTCAACACCTTGGCTGCGCCTAGAAATTCTGTCCATAAAGGTTATGAACAGAATCTGTGACAAAGGGTCACTCCACTGAAACAGTTAATACCAGAGTTAACCTGAAATGTTGAAACATCGAAAATGTGTTTGCTTTTATTGTTCTGGTGGATGCAGTTTGTACCACATACTTGAAAACGCTACAGTAACACCTACTTATAGCAACCAAGAACAGTAGTGGAAAATCCCCACCAGGCAGGCTGTGCTGACAGAGCTTTTGCTGGACATTCCCAGTGATTATAAAAATCCCAGTGATTAAAAATGCTCTTGAGATGACTTTAATATGGACAAGCGTCAAAGATGAAGCCGCAGACGCATCTTTGCTGCTCAAACCATGGTTGGGGTGAACGCAGCATTAGTATAAATGCAAAAACAAACAGAGCAATGTTTGGTATTATTAGGGAGAGTGATGTGCATGCAGCTAACAAAGGGAGATGGGGCGACAATACATTGTTCAACACAATACAGGCTAGTAACACAAAGCCACCATACTGTTTTTTCCCCACTCTGTGACTGGTCTCAAAAATGATCGTTTATGGTCTCCAAAAACAGCAGATCCATGTGGACACACAACCTAAACAGCAAAATACGTCTGTGGATACACCTAATACCATCTCCATGTGGACAGGGCCGCATGGTAATAAATCTGTTTTTTTTTTCAGTCAAAAAGAGCATTTCAACAACAGCAACGCTGCAATAAATTGTCAGGTTTAAGAAAAAAAAAAAAGCCCACTGCCTCTTTAAACACTATCACCAATCAGCTGATTAATAGTTGAATAGAAAAAAAAAATGTTTTCCAACAAGAAAATGGATAAAACAGGATACTATTGGGCTTCTGAAACGACCCCGGCCTTATCCTGTTGTTGGATAACATAAAAAAACATGTCTGTTGCAGGAATGCATTAGGTTTCACTAAACTATTGATTCTGTCAAGAAGCTCAGTCAAATACTAAGCCAGAAGCTGACTGATTTCCACAAAATACATTTCGTTTCTCTGTAACCTTTAACCAAACAATATTAGGAGTTAATCTATTAATTTGAGCATGAATACATTATCATTACCCTAGGAGGATTAATGTATTTTGGATAAAAAAAAACTTGCCTCTAATTTTTCAATTTTGTTGTACTATTATCCAGGAATGAAAACAAATACAATAACCTAAAAGAATAAAAGACAGACAGTATGTTTGGTTTTAGTTTGTCTTTTGGGTTTGTTCAGTCATCAGTTCATTAGATGGCCAAACTCAAGGTTCACTAATACAAAGGCTTGCTGATAAAGGTGTAATTTAAAAATGATTGGACTGGAGACCAAACATGGTGTAGCTCCTCCTTCTGCACTGCTGAAGGTTTGCAAAAAAAAAAAAAAAACTGTTTGCTGTTCTAAAAATACTGTGTGTAGCAAGACTTAAGTGTCCTTTTGCATTTATAGAAATTGAGAAGATAAAGCAGCCTCTAATGGTAACATTTTAAAGCACTAAATGTAATCCCTCTCAATTTTGTCATTCCTCTCCCTTTCTTCCTCTTCTCTGTGCCTCCCCTCATCCTACTCTCTGTACTCAGATCCTGCTGAACTTCCATCTCAGTGTGCCGTCCTCAGAAGACATCAAAACCAACGTTACTCTGATCCTGCAGCCCGAGACCCCTCCTAGGATCACTTTCACCAAGCTCTGACACACAGGAAAATAAACTTTTATCCTCTATCCAGCGTCTTGCTCACGCTGTTTAGCTCAGTTGAACTTCTGGTTTTAATCTGAACTGAGGGGTCAGATCTATCCATATGCTTTGTATTCAGCCACAATGGAGACAAATAAAGGATTATTTCCCTACTTTGAAATGTTCTGAGATTGAACTGCTGTAACATCTGTCCAAAAGATGGCGCTAAAATTCACCACTGACACACCCCATTAATATTTATCACTCCTCTTCCTTTTTACATTTCAGTCTCTTGACCTGCTCCTTGGGGCGTCCAACAGGTTGGTTATTTGTATGCTCTTAAGATTTAACAATGCCATGAATTTCTTGTAATGGTTGGTCTATAATGTGGATTGTTTGCTCTGTTCAAATGATCGATCCATGGCTCCGAGATATCTTAACCAGTCTATTTTTGATTTTTTAGTAATATTTTCCACCTAAAACTTTGTTAAAGCCAAATAGGGTATTTTTTTATGTCTTCCAGAGTCACATTTTCACATTAAATCTAAAACGACTCTTTAAATGTGAAACTTAAATTTCAAATGTAAAAGTGACCTTTGCTCCTTTTTGAGATTGTGCAGGTTTTCTGTCTCATGGAGAGGTGTGTGCTTCAGCTACAGGTTAGGCTTCTAGTTTAGAAGCAAAGGTCTGTTTGAGATAAAGATTTACACGTTGCATCATGGTGAGACGGTGCGTGATCATGCATGGATACCAATGTGTAGAGTGTGTGCTTGTGAGTGGAAAACACCATTTGTCTCCCATGTGCTACACACAAATCTGGCCTAATTTCACCTGCTGTGGGTTGTTTTGGAACTTAATTTAAAGAGCATTTTGTTTTTACCACTGTAAATAAAACCTACTGAAAAAAATAATGGAAAAGAATTGACAGAAATTTATTATAAATATATATTATATCTATATTTATATAATATATTATATTTATATTTTTTCTTGCTTAAAGGTTTCATTATTATATACATAATAATGAAACCTGAACATGTTATATGTATGTAATTACTTAAAGTGTAAAAATTTCTTTTTACACTTTAAGTAATTATTGTTGTTATACAGCTGCAGCAAATAGAAAATAGATTCAAAAATACTACAAATATTTTAAAATATAACAGGATGCTGTTGCGGCCTTTGTTTGGAGAGCTGCTAGACAATAAGCAAGAGAAAAAAATAAAAGAATTGGGGATTTTATATAGCAAAGGTCTCTGGGACAGGATTTAAATCCAGGACACCTGTGTAGAGAACTAAGGCCTGGGTCAATGCAATTTGTACCAAATTCATTAAAGTAATTTTCAGATCTGTTTAAGTAGGGAAAAAATTATAGCCCATCTATCTTTTACAAGTATTTTAATCATACCTTAAAACGGAGCTCCTTAACCTAAACTCCTCAAGTTCCATCATCTGTACTTGTCTAACACAAATATATCCACTATTAGGTTTTTAATTAATTTGCTTAATAATTCAGCCCTTATTTAATTAGCAAATAATTTATTTCTTGACAAAGAAAATTAAATTAGTACAGTAAGAAAATCTAAACCTTAAAGATTTATAGGCGCTCTGGTGTTCCTGGGTGTTACTGAATACATCTATCCTTCCATGAACCAGATTGTCCAGTAAGGTCATTAGGGGCAGCAGTATTTAGGCAATGGGTGAGCTTCACCTATACAGGTAGCCAAGCCACCAAAGAATCACCCAGGACACAAGACTATTTGCGCACCAAACTCACAACTGATGGCAATTTAGAAAGATCAGTTAACCTAAAAGTCGAGTTATTGGATTATGGAAGGAAGCAGGAGAAACTAGAGAAAAGAAACAAAAACAAAGCTGGGCTTTGAAGCTAGGTAAATCATTATGATTAAAAGCATTGTAACTAAAAGCAGCTCACTTGTGAACAGCTTTTGTGTTACCAGCTGCTGTCAGATAGAGGTTGGGTGTATTGGAATAACGTTTTTCAAGTAGGATAAAAACTGATAATTTTCTATGACTTAAAAAAATGTCTTTGTCATTTTGGAACATCTCAGTCTGTCCTTTCAAAACCACCTGTCACTTCTATAAAAGGAAATCTCAACAGGGGAACGACTTAATTTAAAACTGTGACAACGTTCATGTTGTCCCTTTTCCTATTTACTTCCTAGAAAAGTTCTAAAGGTTCTTTGTTAAATTTGTGTCAGCAGCCAAATCCAGAAAGCCTGTTGTGACACCCCCACACCCCACCCCCACCTGCCCACCAAAAAGTAGTTATGAGGTATTAAAATCCAAATTTAGAGCGAGGTTAAGTGCCCACAGCAGCTTTTTAATTTACCGCTTTAGGGTTACTTGGTGACTTGGTGCCATAATGGGTATGTTGACACAAAACGTTCCCAATTTTAGCATCTATTGACCCACTGAGGACAAATGCAAATAGTGTGAGTGGGAGGAGAGAGAGGGGAGAACAGACCGGGGTCAGATAGTAAAGCTGGAAGATAGAGGCTAATACAAGTGATTTGGGACTTTGAAAAAGAAGAGTGCACAACTTTGGAACGGAGAAGGATAAAAATAACTGCAGAAACAGGCAATAAATTAAAGGGGTCAGAGGATTAGAGCTGAATGATGGATGGTTTACTGAAAATGGGTAAGTGGATCAAAGATTTCCTCACCTGCTGGTTATTCGCAGCATTGGCAACCTTCATATTACTTTAGCAACAATTTGTAAACATGAGAGGCCACATTTGGTTAATTTTTTACATTTCTCCAAGATAATGGGGAGTTTAACGGTCAGTATCTGTGCAGCATTTGGCAAACAAAGCATTATTCCATTTGGTTATGTCAGAAAAAGTATTGATAATCTAGAACATTTGCTCATTTACCAAAAACCCTAAGTTCAACAGGGTTTAGTCTAAAACTGAAGTTCTATTGAGCAGAACAAGTTTTTTTTTTTTGGCAGACCTCAGTGATTTTGTAGAGTTATGTGGAAACAAGAGATCACTCAGGTTAAATGTAAAGATTAGAAAAACACAATAACACTGATAATAAAACACAGGCAGCCATTGTAAGAATACCAATATGGGGGTAATAAGGTCATATGTGCTTAGCTGATCATAACACATTTACTATGCAAGTCTGGCCTTTATTGATTAAAAGAGAGACATCCAATGTCTCATTTTGTAACCGGAGGTATACAGGGAAAGAATGTCCAACATGCAAAAGACAATTTTCTCAACTAAAACTATTACTCATTATTTACCCGAATAGGCTATTCTCACAGTGGAAGACGGTGGCGGCAACATCATCCTATGGGATTGTCTTTCTACAACAGGAACAGGTTGCAGAGGCCTCTAGAATGAGGCAGAGGTTCACCTCCCACAAGGACGATGACCCAAAACATAGAAGGCTGTTTAAATCAGTCTATGTTTGGTTTAGTCAAAGTCCAGAGTTAAATATAACTGTACAAAGAATATAAAATTGTTATTTGCAGTCCCTTTCCATGCATTTGGTCTGGGACTGAGAGATGTTGTGAAGAAGTGCAACAGACACATCTAAAAACTTGCAGTTGCCTTTTACAAAACACATAAAAATGTTTAAAGAATGCAGTAAAGTGCACTGCAAGTTTTTGATGATATGACAAACTGGTATAGGTGTATGAATACTTGATCATGGTTCTGTTAAACTCTACTGCCAAGTTTTTTTTTTACTGTAATCTATCATCTCACTGTGTTACGGTTTATATGCTGGTTAAAGCCACAAAAATGTCTATTCTTCAATTTAAGCAAATCCTTCATGCATGCTGAGGTCGTTCTCACCAACAGGTTCTCCTCCTTTGTCAGTCATGATGTTAATCTTTTTTTGTTGATCTTTTATCTTTGACCTAAAGGTGTGCTTTATTTATAGCCAGCCTTCCAAGAACAGGAATCAATGTGTGTGTTTCGAGGTGCGTGCGTTTCCATGTGTACAAGCAGGGGGAAGGGTCGGAGGGGAGGAGGATCTCAGTGGGACCTGTGATGATTTGTGCAGCAGAGCGGCAGAACTGGGTCACAGGGAGGCGAAGAGAGGAAGAAAAAACACAGAAAAGTGACAGATTCATAACCTGCAGGATGGAGGAGCTTTGATGGTTCATATTATCCTGCAATGCTCCTCGACAGCAGTCCCCTTTAGTTTTGCCAGGCTTTGCCCTCGTGTAGGACTGCCTGTCCTTTGAACGTGGAGGACTTTGACATGGTGTAACAAAGAAAAGGCAAAAATAATTCCTATCTTCCCTTAGTGTTTTTAGAAGCACAAAACGTCCCTCTGCTCTTTTATTCCCTAACCCTTCACTTAGCACCATGAAACTTTTACTTTGAAAAGGGCTTCTGGTTGACCTTTAACTTCTGAAATCACACGCTTACTGGTTTCTGCCACAATTTTTGTTCATAAAATAACAAGAGATGGTCTTAAAAAAATGTCTGGAAACAAATAATTTGAAATAAGGACTGAACATGGAGGTTCCTTATGTAGATATTATGATATCAGACAAGGGAGAAGGGGTTAAATAAGCTTATGCTTCTCCCTGCCGCTTTTCTGACATGCCAAACCTGTATTATCTATTTGCTTTTTTTTTTCTGCCTGGAACTGTCTTTTTTGCTATTATACATGTCTGTGATACATTCTCACTATTACAACAATATTAATACTATACTAAATACAATTAAAAGCGAGTAATAATTAAATATAAAAGACTTCAGCTGATCAAATCTTGGGTAATTTCTCACTTCCCAGCATTATATCGTTGTTTTATTAGGAAAAGATGGAGTTGAATGAATGAATGGCACCCGGCAAGGTTGCCAGTGGTTATTCTTCAAGAAAACAGAAAACAGGTCCTGCTGAAGGAAAAATGAGAATCGAGCCTCGCTGTTGAAGGAAACCATGAGTGACTATGAATACAAATGGTTTTGCTGCACTTTCAACAATAAAGCAGTTATTCACATAGGAAAAAATATATATTTTGAGCCACTTTAAAACATATTTTGATGCGTTTTAGCTT